ATGTGTATCACATTAATAATTGACTTGTTTTTAACATTTTGGTGAACACCTTCACCGCATTAAACAGTGGTACAATATAATTTAGCTATTTTATTTGTATGGCAAGTGTAAGGCTTTAGCTGGTAATAAATAAGACAACCTATTTTAAAAAGCAACTTTCCGCATTCCTTGGTGAGTTTTGAAACAGACTACTAATGTTTTCATCCAAAATCACTATCAGTGGTTGATATCTCAGACACAGGAGGCTTATTATTTCACTGTGAAACATTTACATATTAGTATGCTTACTCTGTCTCATGTTAATTTTTGAATTTCATGAGTTCCTTTATCAACATATGCTGTATTTGACAGACACCGATCCGGTCAGGGCATAGCATTCAATGCAGTGAAGCATGGAGTTTCATTTGAATGTTACATATTAACTTTGGTCAGGTTTATATTAAACTGAACCCATCAGCCAATTTCTCAAATCCAAGGATACATCAAATCTGGTATTTCTTGTTTATTCTTCTGGAAAGGTTTGAGATTAAACGTGAGAATAGTCGTGACTTGTGTTTGCTGGCCAGTTTGGATTTCATCAACAGGTACCAAGTGCTATTGAGGGAAGAGTGTGAAGAGAGGCACAGATGTGAGCCTGAAAGTAGCGTGTCTGCTGGCCTGGCGGCCTTTGTTTCCTTAGCGCCCTGATTAACCCTCAGCCTTCATGGTTCAATAGATCCCTGATAGATCAAGTTTAAACTAGTGTGCATTAGCACATTTGTTACAATCAGAGGAACAGTTGGTCTTTCATTGCAGGCTGCCGCTTTTTCCCAGTTGGATAAGTAAAGGAAAAAGCTACCAATGACAGAAGAAAACAGCTCTTGGTGGACTGAAGTAACCAATACAATAATTTTAACATTATACAATATATTTAATATAGCATTTCGGTTATTCAAATCACTAGATTGTTAATTAGAAATGGTCAGCAGCTTTGCCTTTGTACTTATATAAAGTTACCAATGGGGAAATTCATTTTGTGGCATTTGAGCAATGAAAAATTGGATAACTGGAAAGCACATTTGATACTTAATGGGTTAATAATGCATTTGGAATTGAAAGTGGAGGCAAAGAAAGCATAAACAATAAAGTTAGAGTAAATTAGAGTAACCTTCATTAAATTAAGCTTTATGATAGTTTGAAAAATTGCAGATCCATTGATTATTTTGATATTCCAATTTTTAAAAAAAAAGTTAGTGAAGTTCTAATTTTGAAACTACAGAATGTCATGTAAAAATAAACTATTCCAGATGGGGACTGTAATGTCTCATGTACAATTCCCAAAAGACACACTTAATTTTCCGAGTATCATGCAAAGCTTTTCAGTTATGGTTTCTTACATTACATGAAATAGACAAAAAAATCTACACTATTCCCCCCCATGTAGTTTTAGATATTACAATATTGGTATATGTTTGCCTGAATAGGGAGATTATTAATTATCTTTATCTTTAATATTTCTCTCAAATAGTATTTTTTTGCAGCATTTAATATTCCCATTAGGAATTACAACAATCAAGAACCCAAAGCACCTAAATGTTAAACTACCAGTTTGCAGCCTTTGTGGTATGGCTATTCATACGTAAAATAATACATGCACTTTAACCATTGCTCTACTTTCCACTCTGCTTTACGAACTATGTAGGAGTGCGTAGAATCTACAGCATCGAAACAAACTTTCCAGAATTAGGTAAGCAAGATGCATCCCTCCAGGGAGAGAGTGCGCATTCCATTCCAACAATTTACCTCTGGAATTTCCATGTGTAGGTGGGTTGCATGGAAATTTCAGTTTGGTTTAGATACTCTTTAGCACGGTGGTGGGTTTCCGCGTGTGTCAGATACCCAGCTAACAAAAAAAAAGCTAATGCATTCTGATAGATAGGAAGAAGAAACCTTGAAATTATATTGGGTTGACTATCCAGGCAGAGGTTAGGACCCAGTTTATACCACTGAAAGCAATTTCAAAGGAGTCAAGGTTTGATTTATATTTACTACTACAAAATTACATTGCCTGAGGCGGAGGTAAGCCATGGGCAAGTGCAACTAAGTGCAGAACGTGACATACATCAGTATTTTTGCTGAGAGTTCAACCGTCTCTGTAATAATGTTAAAAACCATCTCTTAAAATTTTTGTTGATCCATTGAATTTATCATTTATAACTAAACTTGTTTTCCAAGTAACATCTCACCTGTTGTGGTGTTTTGGGTAAGTAGGTATTGCATTGCATTGCTATGCTACTTAGCACCTCACACTCAAATCATATTGTTGTTGACATGGTGAAACTGCAGTTAGATAGTCCATCATGTAACTGGAAGTTACAGTGGAACTGAAGTTAATTGAATCAACACCATTCACTAATTCACTACAGTCAGTTCACCATTTACTCTCCTGTTAAACCTGTGTGTAAAAAACCCACGGTTAGAATTTGTGAACCAATTTTCCTCTAATTGGCCGAAAGCAATTTGAGACCCTCCCAGCAAATGGGAGGGGAGAGAGAGGGAGCGTGGGTGTGTTTGTCATAGTGATGCCTGGTGTTTGGCATCTACCATCAACTGTTTACTGGGGTGAATAAGCAGTAACCTAGGAGCTGACAACAAATCCATCCTCCAGGTGCTTGAACAGGCAGACCAAGGAAATGGTGTGAAAATACAATAACGAAGGAAGAATTTGCCTGACTATGTTCATCAATAAAGTGTTAAAAAAAATCCACAGTATGTATTGACTGCCTAACGTTGCTTTGTGATGCACTCAACAACCAAGCCAAAATTTGTAGCTTGAGTGTCCCAAAACACACTGACGTATAATTACTTCACCAACACAGAAGCCAGCAACACTAATATTTGACACTAGTTCATCTTGGGTGGATTTTGTTCAAACTGCGAAGCATAATGGAAAGGAAAAGGGTTAAAATCCTGGTATTTTACCTAATTACTTTTGTCAGTGTTAGAAAATAATTCTAACCGCTGTGGAAACGTGCTGTGCGAAATTGAAGCACACTTACGGTATTTATATAGAGACGGCCTATTTGTTCTTAAGCAGTTTCAAAAACTGTTTTTCTTCAGTGCCGACCAAAAGAATAAAAACAAAACACTCGGGTATAAAAAACGCAAAATATTGGAATATATTTAAAGGTTAACTCTGTTCATTTTTTTCCCCCCTTGCCTATCCTCTTCAAGTCGTTTCACCTTCCCGAGTCTGACAAACAGCAGTGAATCTCCTTTGCACCTGCTCCCGCTGTGGCCCTGGCTTTTGGCAGGCTCGAAACTCAGCAAATTGTAATATCAGATCTCATCGCCAACTGTGAGCCAGAGTCATCATTGAGTCCCTGTCGAGAGGTGTTCCTCTTCCTTTCCCCCGAGAGAGGAACCGATTCCCTTGGCTCGAGTCTCAAATCTGAACTGTGACCTTAGCCTTTTTTCTTCCTTTGCTCTTCCTACAATACTATAGGTAATGGTGGAATGAGTCATTGCTGCCCTCTTCACTTCTTCCCAGACTCATTAGTAGGTCAAGGCTTCATTGGCCCCAGGGTCATTCAGGTGTCAGATTCACATAATGAGCAGGCTCTGAGGGAATTGAGGGGGAGCGGTGGTGGGGGAGAGAATGTACTTCCAGATTATTACAGTTTACAGTTCTTTCCCCAGCTGGACTGGAAAGCACAGCTGAAGCCCAACCTCGTGGAGTAAAATTTAATTAATAAACCTTAAGACCCATAGCCAATTAGAAAATATTCTGGTTGCAGCATGTCGTAACGTATGCTATATTTAACCATTCTTGTGATGGCGAAATCCAAGAGCCTATCTAGATTTGATTCTGCTTTTACGGGTCACAAGGAAATATATAGATATATTTTTACGGCTTCTCCAACTCACCAGTCACCTCCCAGTTGTTGGCAGAAAATCAAGATTGCAAACAAGTACTCAGCTCCTGACCTTTTGCGTGGGGTGAAAATAAATCCTGTCATTGTGAAACAGAGCAATCGTACAGCGAGTATTGTATACAGTGAGATCTGCAGTATTTTGTCTGGGTTGCATCGTTCAAGCTAGTGTACAACAGTAGTGCACAAATCAAGTGTGTGGCAGAGTTGGAATGAGTGAATTCCCCACTCTGAGAGGGAAAGATTGGGATTTTTTTTGACCCACTGTTATACATTGAAAAGGTCCACACTCAGTCAGCAGTTTTTGATGATCAAACAAATTGACTCTACCAGATTATACCAGATATTTTCCACTCCAATTTGAAGTACATATTTGGGGTATAAGCATGCACTATGGCCATCAGTGCATGAATATTAACATTATATTGTTGTCTTGTGTACACTATTAAATGTAATATTCATATTCTTTCAATTGACATTCTTGTAAGAAAATAACAGAATTAAGCAATGCATTTTGCTGTCTGTTGAATTTTGTGTGTGGAAGAGGGCATGTAATCCTAGTTATTCTATAAATAGAACAAGTCAACCTGGCTCTGATTTAGGTGATTGTGGATTCAAGCCACATGTCAGACTTTGTACTCGCAGTGTAGGCTGACCCTCCATTGCAGTGCCTGGAAGTGCTGTGTTATCTGAGGTGTCATTCTTTGGATGAAATATTAAACCAAGACCTTGCAGTTCTGTTCAGGTGGATTTGAAAGATCTTGTGACACTATTCTTAAAGAGAAGGGTGTTTATTCTGAGTGCCAATAATCCCCCAGATATAAATGGTTATTCACGTTGTAGCTGTTTGAGCAACATTGCCATACAAAACTTGGCTGCACATCCACCTACAAAATACACGATCACTACACCTTACAATAAAATCTGGTGAAGCGCTTTGAGATTTCCTCCTGAAGTGAAAGGCACTATATCAAATGCAAGGATTATTGTTTTTATTTAGTATTATAAACCCGTTTGGCTGCTTACGCAAGCTACTGTGGAAAACGAACATTGTTGTGTTTTTAATAAATCTTTAAATTTGTCCTATAGGTTTTCCAAATAGGCCTAAGTCTCTGAAAGTGATCGTCAACCCACATAGTCACAAAAAAGAAGCCAAACAGATCTACGATGAACAAGTTGCACCTCTTTTCAAGCTGGCTGACATCAAGACTGACATCACCAGTAAGTTAGCAATAGAGTTTCATATCTGCATCTCCATGGCTGACATCTGAGACTGGCACCTAGGCAACGTGGTAGCTTTTATTAATTGTTGGGTTTAGTATAACATGGAAAACTGGATGTGCAGCTAATCCCTCTGACTCCGTGCATAGGTTGTGCGCAAAGAACCTCTAGGTAGATTTATCTACTTTCTGCTTTAAAAACAAGTGTATACAAAGCATTCTCAACATATGCGACATTTATTCTAAATTGATACATTTCAAGGTTAGGTTTTATAGCTTGCTAGGTTGCTGAATGTCAAAAAGATGGTGCGAATATTGTTTTATCACTAGATTCAATAACGTAAAACAATAGCTGATATTTTGTAGAGGTTGTTATCTACTATTGGCAGTTCGTCTAAGTGCAGAGTTTGAGTTGAAAGAGACAGACAGATGTTGTGCTCAGTCTGTGCCATGGTGTGTTTGCACTAGTGCACAAATGTATATTTGATCCATGCAAAAATGAATTTTACCGATATATTGGTACATCTTTGTAAACTAAATAATGTTTTCAATTTTTTTAAAGATCTGCTTTTCTGAGCAATTACTTAATAACTAATAATCCTTGCATTTGATATTGTGCAAAGATGTGTACCACATCTTTGAGATGTCTCACTTAGTCCACTAAGTTGCTTCGTTTTCCTTCCAACATTCGTACAGCTTCAGCTTCCAGGCAGACGGAACAGAAGAGATAAACAGCTAGGTAGAAAATTACCTAAAGTTTTGATTTCATATGTACCCACAGTGGGTGAGGTTCAATTGGTATCAGACAGGATGCTATATGGAGGATACTTTACTGTCAAACTGCCCTATAATTGGTGGAAGAAAGAATACTCAGAAGATATCTCATGTTATATATAATCCCTGTTTTTTTATCAAAATTATCCAGCATTAATGGCAATGAGAAAGTTTCCATTTTAGAGTATAGGACAGCTTGAGGGCAAAATAGGAGCAGAGACTTCTGGTGAAGGCAGTTAATTTTGTGTAGTTTATCTCTTTCAAACATGAACTGCATAAATATTTAGGGAATTGAAGGTGATAAGGATAAGTATAAACATAGATGAGATCAAATACTCATTCAAACACAATGCTTCCTATTTTGCAGGAACCAAAGTATTTGTTGGAAGCAACTGGCCAGGGTTACATAGTAGAGAAGTGGAGATGGTTAGATATTCTGGAGTTTCTTCTTGTTGTTCTTTGAGGGTCAAGGAGAAGTTAAGTAGAGCTTTTCCGCAAGAGATTAAAAAGATGGGGTAGAGGCTTTGCTAGATATAGATTGTAAAACAATTGTCGAAGGAGCTGGCTTTTGTGCTTTCCTTCGTTTAACTGAAAGATTCAACCACATCAGCCCACGTAAAGCCTGACAGAAAGGCAAGGATCAATATGAACAGTATTTTGTTTCTGTATGATCTTCATGTATTGTTTGACTAAGCAGTTTTTGATGCAGCACAGAGTAATACAAAATACATGCTGGACTAATAAGAAATGTATATCAGGATTAACATTTAAAAATACTGGCAGAGTGGTGAATTTTATATGGAATCTTTTCATACAAATTGTAAGGTACTACGCTGAGAGTTTCTTAAAGTATTTTTAAATTTAATATAATAAAGATTATTTGCAGAGCTCAGCAAGGTCATCAATTATCCCTTGGAATGATGTGCAGGTTTTAAAATGCGCATTTTATTCATTTTATTTAACATTGGTGGAAATTAGTGCTGTACTCTCCACTGTAAGATAGCGCAAATAGGAATGAAAATCATTGCAATGTAGCACAATACATTTCCTAGTTCAAAGTTTCTGTTCGATCAACAATAGAAAATGGATTCTTACAGTTTTTAATTTTGCACGCACGCTGCTGTAATTCTCTATAGGATAACGCTTTTACTTTCTGAGAATTAAACAGTGATACTGAGTACTTGTGTAACAGTACATGAGTCATTTTATTCTCTGGAGTAGATTTATTTTCTGGGTCACGTGCAGTTGAAATGGTTGGTCCGATAATCCCATTTATTTCACTGTTCATTACTCCCCCTACAGGTCCACTGTATGACTTGCACAAGAATATTTTCTAATTATATCGTGATACAAATGTACTCACTGGCAGTTAAAAACAAAATGGATTCTGTGAAAACTAAAAAAAAAACCAGTGAATTACTTTTCTCTTTCAAAATCATTACGATTGCAAACCCAGGATTTTAGAATTTCATGCAGACCTGCGAGTATTCTTTACCAATGCTATTATTGTTGATGTTGATGCTGTATGCACAACAGTATTTTTATTAATGTAAATGTGCGCGATATAAGGGAGACTCTCTATTGTAGGCAGTGACCTTAAACCTTTAGTCATTGCTTGCGTAAACTGAATGATCAGCATTGACTTAGTTTTCAAATAGTGTATTATTGAAGTTAAGACCAGAGACACACTGGTACCGGGAAACAGACAAGCATGAAGGATTAATGTAATCTTGCAGAAAATAATGCACATTCTTACGCAAAAAAATCCATCTGCAAATGTCACGTCAGTCAGCAGAAATCTTTGATGGGCAGGTGCAGCTGGGCTATCTCTTCTGGCAAAGCTGCCCTAGAAAATGCTAAATGTGGTTATGATGCTTCGTGCCATCTGCAGCATGCCAGCTCATCCCATTTACACTGGCATCTAGAATGCCACGTAGGGCATGAACAGCGGTAGAGATTGCAATTTAGAGTGACAGCTTCAGACCCTCTGGAGGATGGAAGCTCTGGTGTGTCACTCTGCCACCCTCCCTCTAGTATTATTCGCTGTTGACACCGGTGCTTTGCCTCATTTCCTATTTGTACATTCAAGATGATAATACTCCTGTTTCTTTATATCTCTGATTAAAATCACTTAATTTGTTGCTACCTAAATGCAAATGTTAGCAGGTGTCAGTCGCAAATAACTGTTTAATTAGCTTACAGGCTACACTATAATAATAATAATAATCCTTGCATTTGATATAGCGCCTTATTACATCTTCGAGACGTCTCAAAGCGCTTCACAGAATATACTGTCAAGTGAATTGAAAGCATACGTTGTGGGCGAAATGATTATCAGCTTAATCCAAGAACTTCAGTTTCAATTTGAAGTATTTACCGATTCCGAATTGTGGGTTATGAACACAAAAACTATAGGATTTAGTTTAAGTATTCCTTGGAAAAATATTGTTGACGTCTTTACTGATGTGTTTGCATCGTGTTATTTCTTGATCATAAAATAATGTACTTTTTTGTCAGACTTTAACCCCGCACAAATATCTCTCACGAGTTCATTGGCAAAGTGGCAAATTAAATAACTGTTGCCGGATCTTTAGCTAACTTTGCTTCTGTTACTGACAATATCTTTCTGCTGTAGTTACAGAGTATCAAGGGCACGCTTTTTCAGTTCTCAAAGAGTGTGAGCTGCAAGAATTTGATGGGTATGTATACTTTGTACCAAAACCTTTGCAGTAATAAATTGCTGGCAGAATCAACAATGAAATTTTAGTGAAAATGCCCTTGCTTCACAAATGGAGTATCTGGTATCAACAACTCAATAGCAATAAGCAACCATTTGCTATTGAAACCGTTTTACCGGTGAAATATTCTCCCACGTATAGGCACAGCAGGTGGGAATTTAATTACCTGTTCTGTAAACAATGATGAAGTACCTTCGCCGAAAGTATTGCTGGTTTTAGGGTTTTACACAATAGTTTAGCTCCCATACTTGCACGATAGTCCAGATTTATCCCTCCTTTAATATTGGTTGTGCTTATTTACTCTGTTTAGTTGCGGTACAATCATAATATTATAGAGAGTTTATCTTAATTTTTTTTCTACCATAGAACTCATACCTACAGTTTATACTTCTGGACAGTTTGTCATACGTGAAATGTTTCACCCGGCGTCCCTTTGAGTACTGAATGACCCTTCAAATGCCGTATACAAACATTTTCTTTTGCATAAAATTATTTGACATTTATTTGATGTTTAATTATATTAAGCAGGATCGCAGTAGTGGACCGTTCATAATTCATGATCACTGAATAAAATGAAACACCTAATTGTAATTTTTATTGCCATCTACCTTTTAAAGAAGATTACGATAGAGCTTTCAGATAAGCATAATTTGGAATCGTTCTGATCAGACTCCAGGTCACTCACATGAGTTTATCTGTTGGTTGTGCACAATGCACTAGTTTTAAATGTTTTGCCCTCTCCTAGCTATTTCTAATATTTCCCCAGTTCCAGAATATCCATTGAATGAGTCAACACTCTGGAAAAAGCTGACATAACTGACATCATTACTTATCGCATTAGATTGCAACCATTGAATGGTGTGACGGTTATTTTGGATCAGAGTACAAGAGGGTGAATTATCACAAAGTATAATTTTGTTTTACATTATAACACAGTGCATCTGTGTGTCTTGTTTCACATTAATAGGTAACACTTACTTGTGACAAGGTTTTCATATTAATAAAATGCCATGTAGGCAGAATGTTAGAGGTTGCACATTAATGATAATTACCAGCAGCTTTAAATTAAAGCTTCATTTACACATGCTGAATTTGGAAACATGCAGTGATGATTAATAGGAAATTAGTGGCATTTTAGTACACTTTTTTTGCCAGTGCAATTTATTGCTAGTGACAGAACATTCGGACAAGTAAAATAGCAATTACTGTAGAAATTTCAGTCATTACAGGAATTGGGAACCAAATATAGTCATGCTCTGGGTTCCTCAACTTACTAACCTCTCATTGTGCAATCTTATTTGTAGGCTTTTTTACTGTAATTTTTAATGTGGCATAAGAAGTTAGGCAGCAATAATTAGAAATGGTGTCCGTGTTTAAGAACAGTGGAAGTGCATTCTGCTATACTGACAGGCCACAGGATTAATAAGATGGAGTAGAAATAAACTTCTGTCAACTTGTCACCTTATTTTCAGTTTAGTGCAGAGTTCATAGATAGCTGCTCAGTCGCACCCTAATAGAGAGAAATATGATAGGATTTGATTGGAGATTAAGTCCATCAGTTTTTCACCCTAACTTCATTTAACAGCAGTCTTGTGCTTATTAAATCCCATTATTATGTCTCGTACTTTTAATTGTCACCGTACATATTAATCACATTTCAGTATTGGGATAAGGGATAATTGAATCTGTCGTAATTCTGTGGACTAGTTCCTGAAATATATTTGGTTGAGCTTTGGGTACTGTATTTTACTTATTAATAAAGTGATGATTACAACTGTGGACATCAATAGCAATAATGAATAAGAAGGCACTCATTTAATGATAAATATGGGATGGTCTACAATGGGTTATTTTGGGCCTAATCTCATGTATTGAGATTTACATAAGATGCACTCTCATATGCTTAAATAATTGTAATATGTATAGCATGTATAAACTGTTATTATCATGCTTTGGTTAATACCAATTAATTTCCTAGCTTTGCCCAGTATTCCTTTCCTTATTTCAGATTTAATCTACTTGCATTTAAAATAATCAGATGGAGATTTGGTCTTTCATGCAGGTGAATTGAAATGCACGCAGCTTTCTAAACTGTTTTACGTTATTGCAAGTATTTAAATTTCCATTCAAAGTAGTTTCTTTTATAAGCCACTAAAATTTTTGGGGGGAGTTATCCACAAATTGGGATTATCTCTTCACTGGAATCACAGAAACATAAGTGAAGTATTGTATTCTGCAGTAGAGTTTCAATGGGGTGTGGGGGAGCGGAATGAATTCTAAAGTGGAAATTCCATCATTTGCTAAATTGAAAAAAATAAGATGTTAACAGATCTGTGTCAGAATAGGACAGAATGAATAGTACTGAGTCAGTTCTTACTGGGTTTGGGTTATTACCTTCCAGAGTGGTCTGTGTGGGTGGTGATGGCACAGCAAGTGAAGTGGTCCATGGTGTGCTCCTTCGAGCCCAGATGGATGCAGGGAGAGACACAGATTCCAACTTCACGCCTGTCAGAGCACCACTTCCTCTCGGCATAATACCAGCAGGTGGGTATAGAAAACGCTGATTATTTAGATCTAAATCTGTCCTTACTCTCTCTCTCTCTCTCTCTCCCTATTTCCTTTCTGTGTCCCTTCTGTAAATTTAAGTCCGCATTTATTGTTGTGCAATCAAACACAAGGTATCCCTTAAAATATTATCAGCTGATGCAGTTAAGACAGGGACCAATTTATAATGGGAGGTTGTTGACTGCGTACTGTATTCAAATTAGTGCTGATGGTTTTCGGATTGAAATAGATTATTTGAAAATGATTTTATGCCAACTTCAGTCACAACCCTCTACCCTTAACTGCATCTCGTAAAATCACATAAGGTACTTCAAGAACCTAACCTGACGTGTAGATTCCTGAGGTATATCATTTGTATTAAAAGTGGTCCCTCTAATAATAATAATAATAATAATAATAGCTTATCACATCATTCAGATATCTCAAAGCGCTTCACAGAATATATTATAAAGTGGACTGACTGTGTTTTTTGGGAGTGAATCACAGCAGCCAATTGCACCCAGCAATGTCTCATTAATAGTCATTGTTAACAGTCGGACAGTGTTGCAAGCTTTTACATAGATATTATTAATATGAACTGCTTTTTTTTCTTTCGATGGGAGACTTTTGGTATGGCAAATGCAAAGATACCTACATGTATTAAACACATACATGATCTTTCTGGCGAAGTACTTATGAAAATCTTAAGGACGATAATCAGCCACGAGGGAAAACAATATTTTTGAGAGTATGAGATTTAGAGATTTACTCCAATCGTTTTATGTTGGTGCAGCAATTACATTCAAAATGTAAAGAAATAAAATATTTTTGAGCTTACCTCTGTTATGGTTACTAAAACGTTTTTTTTTGCAAATATTAAGTCATTTCCATTAGGATTGGGAATTACTACATTTTGAAATAAACAGCTATATAGTTGTGCGTGTCCTCGATTTAAGTTCCATACTGTTTTCCCAGTTAAATCTTTTTTAATATGATACTTTTTAACAGTCAATATGAGCTGTTGGTATAAATCATATACATTAGAACCAGGAACTGCTATCACATAGAATACTTGATGCACATCTAAAGCCAGCACCTTATATCACGCATCAGACAATTTCTAAAAGATTAGTCCAAATATTAGTGACAGTCTAAGGAATGCATCTGTAAGAGTGACTTATCATTCTGATCGCCATATTGTGTGCTAAGAGGCTACAGTACGAGCAATGGGGATTTAAGCGAAATAAACAAATGCACTTGGAACATAATTAATGCTTTGTCTGCTTTTGAAGGGAACCAAGTAAAAGTAACCCTATTGCTACAAATTATTAAATGCCCCTGACAGGTTCTGACAAAATGATTTCAGATGCATTATTAGCACAACACAGTTGTACTCTAAGATCACATAACAACAGCAGGTTGGATTATTTTGAATAAATAGCCACAGTTGAAGTTTTCATGCAGTGATTTGACCTTCACTTGACATCTCTACGTGCTATAAATACATTGACATTCAAAATGTGGATGAAGCTTCTCCAAAAAGGGTTCAGATGAGATTTTAAATGGAGATCCATCTGCCTGTTTAGGTAGACATTTAAGATTCCCACTTAAGACAGTTAATTGGAATAGAATTTCTCCCAGTCTCCTTTAGATCACTATTGGATGCGCAGGTGCTATGTTGTTCAACTGCATAAACATTAAACTTGATCACAAATATGAAGAAAAGTGAAGTTAATTAGTGGGAAATAATGTGGGTTATATTTCCATTACCATACTATTTTTCCCTCGTCTGAAGGCTACACCAAGTAAAGATTTGGGGAGAAATTTCTAAAATTCTTATCAACTGTCTCAAAAACAATGAACATTTTCTACAAGATCCATATCTGTTACGGTGTTAAATAGAAAGCAAGAATGTTGTTCAGATCTGTAAAGTCAAATGTTACTTCTAAATGACTGTTGTTCTGATGGGCAGAAGTACTTGTGGGCGAGGAAATAATTCGAGTGATTTGTGCAAATAGGTTGGCACTATATTAAAGACTTTCTGAAGCGGTGCAGTGCACTAAAATTCAGCACTGGCATGTTTATATACTTGAGGCTATGAGCTTCAAAGTCTTCAACACGTTCAACTCATTATAGAACTGCTTAGTCACCAATTAATTTTGAGGGGCTAGAATATTGCTGGGGGACTGTTCATTTCTATTCTGACTGATATTTCAGGCAAAGAACCAAAATGAAATTGTTAGTATTAGCGCTGTTTTCAGGAGAATTTCAGCTATGCTTGAGTGGCAAGTCATTACATCACATTTGTCAGCTTGAATGTGAGCAACATTAACAGCCTTATGAGTATGCATGCAGTCTGGTTAATTAAGTTAATTGTTCTGCAGAAGTGCTTGCACTTCCAAGGACAATTTTTAAAAACAATTTCTGCTCGGTACAATCATCAGTCATGCTTTACATAAACTGCTGATACATTTGTCCTTTAATCTATTGTTCACATAATTGAGTCAAAAAGACAAGTATAGCACTGAGTAAATGAATGGGACCCCATTGTAACTTTTGCTTTGGACATTAACCGAAATGTTGACTCCCGGTGCAAATAGCTTTTTTTTATAATGCACATATTAATTAATTTGTCAGTGTTCACGTTGAGCAGTGTCGCTTTTGATGCTATGAAAACGCTCATCGTGGCACGGGTAGAAAATTAGCTCCTCATCTCCGCCCCTGCCCAAGCTGTTCGCTTTTTGTAACACAGCTCTGCAGTCTGCCCAGCTAGGGCCCAGCATTCAGCTTTCAAAATTGTTGTGGCATATGGAAATTCCCAGAGAAGCAAGAAACTGACAAGTATCTAGAGTTGTTTCATTAGGGGCACAGAATGTCTGCAGCCTGGGAGGTCACGTCAGCTGTGTAGCAGTCTCAGGCTCACTGAAATCCCCAATTCCTTCACTTGAGCTGTCAGCCAAAGATGGGAATGTATGAATAGCAGCACCCAAATGAAAGCTCGCATGTGGTTGTTTATGTTGCCGATGCCAATATTTTCCAGATTGTACAATCTCTGTCTTTTTTCATGTGCTCGCTCTCTATCTTTCTCTCTCTCTCTATTGTGAAAGTCCACAGGGAAAAGTGTGGTTAAATGAATTGAGCAATGAACAAGATACTTGAGTTTTTTTATATCACCATTAGTTATAAACCTGCAGGAAAGCTCAGTGTTTAGAACTCTCTCAAAATCTGGTTCATCGCCTTAAGGTTTAATGGGAAGAAGATTTCTACAGAAAGACAACGATTAAGAAGGCAAAACTGTGCCAGGGCACACTGGGGGAGCAAATGTGTGGGAGAACAGGAGAAGTGGGCAATGAATTTGTGCACACAATGATCACACACTTCAGCTGTGTCACCTTAAGGCTACACTGAGCAAAAGTAATTGTGCTCTTATAAACAGAGGGTATATTGGAGAGAGAATGAAGAGAGCATCAAAATATATTGGCACAGCAACACTACAATTACAAATTTGTGCAGCCCTGCCAAAATGTGTCAACTCTGTTTTCTTATACAATGGGATTTTCAGTGATTTGCTTCTCATAATTTCCGCCATAGGGGTCCCCTTCTTGCAAGCAGATAAATGTCTCCCACTTTATTATTTTTTAAAAAACAATTACTGCAATTAAATCTGCGTAATTAATTTTCCTGCTGCACTTTAATGAGTTGATGAGGTTTTTTTTAAAAAATAATTTAAATTTTTTGCGTGTTAGCTTGACAATACTGAACTGAATTACCCGGAGAAAATAGCCTACAATTTAGGCAATTAATTTAATTTGTATGTGATTAACAACCATCATATCACTGTGGTCAAAATATATTTTGTTATCTGTAATAAAAGTTTTGGAAACTGTTTTAGGTTATTCCTGGTGACTCGGTGGCAAAACACACTGTTGCTATTTATTACTGAACCATAAATAATTCTTACATTTGAAATAGCACCATTCATGTAAGAGGAAGTCTCAAAGCACTTCGCAAGATACACTGTAAAGCGCAGAGACTATTTGTAAATGCTGCAGCCAATTTGCATACAACAACAACAACTTGGATTTATATAGCGCCCTCCATGCCGGACGGCGTCTCAGAGCGCTATACAGCAATATCCCACAAATACCTATGAAAGAAAGATTTTTTTTTATCGTGCAATTCATATAAGGTATATCAGGAAGATTCAATTTCTGCCCTGTGCTAGATTTATTCCGAGAGAGCTAACGGTTGGGAAAATGTAGCGTGAAGGTAGATAGGTGGGATTGAGGCCCATCAAAAAGAATGTGAATGTTCAACCCAAGGGCCTATTCCTGTTCCTAATCTGACTGACTCTCACTGAATAGGATCATGCAAAAAAATGGCCATCTGAGTAAGGTGTCAGAGAGCTGTAGATAATAATAATAATAATAATAATAATAATAATAATCCTTGCATTTGATATAGCGCTTTTCACGTCAGGAGGACGTCCCAAAGCGCTTCACAGAACACACTGTAAAGTGAATTGACTGTATATTTGTGGGCAAACGCGGCAGCCAATTGCGCACAGCAATGACCCACAAACAGTCGTAGATTGAAAATGACCAATTTATTATTCTTTTTGGTTTTTGGAAGGATTATTATTAGGCTCTGTGTGGAGTAAGGAAACTTGCCCAAGGTTTCGCCCTCTGCCTGGAATTGAACTCAGATCTCTCGCTTGCAAAGCGAGTGCTCTAACCACTGAGCCACAGGACTCCAAGCACAAGATGCTTGTGGACGTGTACTCCACTGTGAAGGGTAGAAATAACAGAGCGGAGGGCGGAAGGGAATCAGTGGATTCTTGATAAATATAAATCAAGAAGAGAAGGAAAGAAGATTTTCTTTGCGACCATTGAGAAACTGTTCTTATGCGTGGTACTTCTATGCTTCAGTAACCTGCTTGCTGGTGTTCTGTGTTGTTGCATCTGCTCAAAGGCAATAACACATGTAAGTATACCTGCTAACATTTGCTGTACATTATCATTAGAAAAGATTGGACACTTGATAGCTCCAGCACCAATGATACCCTGGTTCTCTGTGCCAAACACAATCATTTGGCTTTTCAGTGCCAGCTTAATCAGCACACATGTGTATCATTGGCTTTTTGCAGCTTCTCTGTACGGCCTAAGGAAACCTATCCAAGGTTACCTGATGGCTTTGGCAAAGTGACTGTGAGTATCACCATTATGTGCTGAGAATATTGCTGCTGAGGTGACAGACATAATACTACATTTCACATTCAGCATCACGTCTCTTGCCAGAACCAAATACATCCTGAAATTCTTTGTTCAGTCATCACTGTGAACAGGGGATCATCTGTTTCCACTGCCATGTCATTATTTTCTAGTTATGTGCACCCTTACTATCTGATAGGTTTTGTATTCATGTGGTTCTGTGGCTTTGGGATGGCTCTTAAAATGGTTACTGGGCTAAAAGGGATATACAGTACATTCATATCTTGAAGTTTCATCCTTAATAATAGAGCAGGTTTCTATTATTGACAATTATTTCAAACCCAAACCAATTGGTTATGCACTGGAAGCACTTGCTGTCACAGTCATCTGTGGAGTCCTGTAGCTCAGTGGTTAGAGCACTCGCTTTGCAAGTGAGAGACCTGAGATCAATTCCAGGCAGAGGGCGAAACCTTGGGCAAGTTTCCTTACTCCACACAGAGCCTAATAATAATCCCTCCAAAACCAAAAATAATAATAAATTGGTCATTTTCAATCTACGACTGTTTGTGGGACATTGCTGTGCGCAATTGGCTGCCGCGTTCGCCCACAAATATACAGTCAACTCACTTTACAGTGTGTTCTGTGAAGCGCTTTGGGACGTCCTCCCGACATGAAAAGTGCTATATCAAATGCAAGGATTATTATTATTATTATTATTCCAATGAAAGATGGCATTATTACTGAATCTTGTCAAATCCATAAGAACAGAAACAGACATGTAATATCACCATCACCATACATGAAGTTTGCTTTGCTCATCTATCTTCATATGGTTCTTAAAATATGTGAGATGGTAAAGGATACACTCCTCATGTTGGGCACAGACATTGGGTAAAGTGGAAGGAGCATTGTTCTGCTCTAACCTTACTATATCCATTTTTGGGAGTATTCCTTTCCACAGCAAATATTCCTGAACTTGCTGAGCACAAAATTAACCAAATGAAAGCTGGTTGTTTTAATTATTTCTCAGGTTCCACTAATGTCATAGCATTTTCAGTCCACGGAATTAAGCATCCAGTAACTGCAGCAATGCACATCATTATGGGTATGTATTTCGAACTTTCTACCTTCTGACCTGTGATTAAATTAGAATGCTTTCAATAAATGGTCATCCAGATACTAAAACTGCCAAAAGATATTTTAGATGTACTTCAGCGGTATTACTTTACCCCTTGCGAAAAAAGTATAAACTTGAGTTTCTCACTTTATAGTTCCCGAACTGCAATTTAAATTAGGGTGGGAGAAGTAGCTGGTGTGATATCATCCCCTTATACTGCAATATTGTGCAAAATATTTCAGACATACTGTTTGCTCTGCTTTGGGTTGAAAATATGAACAGATTTTCAAACAGTGGTAAAGCTATCATTACTTATATTTGGAAGCATTAAGTAAGTAAATGAAGAGCCCACATAACTAATTAAATCAAAAATATCCTCCAATATTTGTGCTTATTTTAGTTAAATTAGAAATGACTTTCCAGAGCTTTGTATTAATAAACATAAATAAAAATACTGTCATCACTTCTGTTTCAGTATAAGATTGTGAAAAGTCTGTCCATGTGAAATTAAATTACAGAAAAGTCAATTATTTTTCATTAGATATTAAGAGGTAATGAATAACTTTAGTGTTTCTAATTATGCAGCTGCAATCATTAATAAAATGCTAGGCATGCAGCATAAATAGAGTTGTCTGTTCTACAAGCTAAGAAACCTGGTACAGTATGTGTGCTTCAGGAAAGAAAGCTGGACGATCCGCACAGTAGTGCGTCTGCACAGTGTTACATACCTTATGGTATTAGTACGTGAGGAGTAGCAGTGAACACACAACTTTCTGTCAACGCCATATTTTGTCCAGTATGAAGAGAAACAGAATATTGCATGTTTTTTCACCCACACAGCGAACATTCACCATATACCGGGACAATGGCAAACTCGTATACATCCTACACGGAAATCGTGCCTTCAGCAATATCTGGGGCACATTTCACTCCTGAAAATATGAATGTGTAGCAAATCAGAACCTGGAAATGTGACTTGGATTTTCCACTGAGCAGATTTTGAAAATTCTGTCGTCACAATTTTTTTTTATCATAAAACTTCATGCAACACATCTACCTTATGCTCTTTCAATGTTATTTGAAGCCTATTGCAGGTCAGAAAGCTCTTCAGCTCCCATTATCATTTTTATTCAAAATGTCATATGATCGATTGTGGCTGTAGGGATCAAGACTGTAATTGGAAAGTAAATTCCAGTTCACAGCAAGACTAGTGCAAATAAGATCAAGGAGAGAGAATTTGGAGCCAAGTTACAAAAAAGACCCAGGTAAAATAGAACTGGACTGGGATAGGATTTCAGAATAGATTTTCATTAGAATGCAACAACAAGATTATATTTGTATAGCGCCTTTCACATCGGGAGAACGTCCCAAGGCGCTGGACAGTCTACAGCATTTCAGACCCGAGCTGGAGTCAGGGGGGGAGAAAGGAGGGGAGGGGAAGGGGGGTGGCCGATGGCATGGTCGAAGAGGAGGGTCTTGAGGCGGGACTTGAAGGAGGCTAAGGAGGGAGCGAGGCGGAGAGATTGGGGGATGGAATTCCAGATGTTGAGGGCAGAGTGGCCGAAGGCTCTCCCGCCTATGGTGGGGCAGGTGGGTCGGAGGACGTGGGGCAGACCAGAGCCGGCTGAGCGGAGAGAGCAGGTGGATTGTTAGGGAGTTAGGAGGTCGCAAAGGTAGGATGTGGCGAGGCTGTGGAGGGCTTTGTAGGTGAGGACCAGGATCTTGAACTGCATCCTCTGAAGGATAGGGAGCCATTGGAGTCGGGCGAGAGTGGGGGAGATGGGTTCACGGAGTTTGGTGCGGGAGAGGACACGGGCTGCAGAGTTCTGGATTATCTGCAGCCTGTGGAGGGAGGAGTTGGGAAGGCTGACAAGCAGGGGGTTTGCATAGTCGAGCCTGGAGGCAATGAAGGCATGAACAAGAGTTTCAGTTGCCTGAGGGGTGAGGTAGTGACGGAGTCGGGCGATGTTATGGAGGTAAGGGAAGGTAGAGCGGGTCATGGCTTGGATGTGGGGAAGAAAAGACAGTTGAGGGTCGAACAAGACACCTAGGTTCCTGACTGCCTGTGAGTTGTAGTGCAACCATGGAGGTTGATGCTGCCAGAGCCTGAGGTGCTGAGTCTCTGGCGCGAGTCAATCAGGAGGGCCTCAGTCTTGTTCACATTCAACTGTAGGAAATTTGCCCTCATCCAGGACTTGATGTCAGTCTGTCAGGACAGCAGTGGCCCTGGAGTTGAGGGTGGAGGCAAAAAGATAGAGTTGGGTGTCATCCGCATACATATGGAAGTTGACCCCATGTCTGCGGATGATGTCATCAAGGGGGAGCATATAGATATTAAAGAATAAAGTCGAAACAATATATGCTTCCATTCTTTGCAAACAACATCTTCATAAAGACAATGGTTCTTCCAGGTTTCTGCTTTTGTAGTACAGGTTTTCTTATAACATTTGGATTACATAGAACATCTTTTGTTAAACTCATCTCCTCAGGCCACCACCAGGCGGTAGATGCTTGCACTTTCCACAGTCACAACGGGCTTCTCCGCTTCGGTTTCTCTGCCATGTTTGGCTTCGGTGGGAGAACCCTGGCTTTAGCAGAAAAGCATCGTTGGATGCCTCCAAACCAACGGAGGGACTTTGCCATCATCAAAACACTGACAAATCTGAAGTAAGAAGTTGTTTTCCTTCTCTTCTCCACACGCCACACCCACCCCTCCCTGCATCCTTCCTGAATGCAGAAAGAATCAAACAGATGGAAGTGGTTGGTATCTGCCTTATCTCGTGCCTTGGCCCTTCCTACAGCGGGATTTAGGCCATTTGTTTTCGAGTTATTACTTATGCCCTTGATCTTGTTTATTGCTGATATTTGTCGATCTCCCGAGAGTCTCATTTCAACAAAAAATAACTTTGATGTGGTAATCAAGGCGTTTCATCTTTCCAGGCCTGAAGACTGCGAATTATCCTTCCTGCCATTGCAAAATTCCCAATTTGTAGCAGAGGAAGGCAAAAGGTAAGAGACAATGGGTCACTGGTTATGAACTCCAAAAGATCCACTTCATTTTTTTTGCGCGATAGGATTTCCTGACGACACTATGAAACGTGTTTCACACTGATCAAATATAATGATAAAGTTGCCATTGCCAGTACCCTCACATTGAGCAAAATATTGTTAATCGTTAATTTTCGTGGGAACACATATAGGATCTTTATGTCTGACACAGTGCAGCCTGTTATATTGCAATTCCCCATGGTTGAATTATAAACCTAATTCACTGTGCATGCACACAGACCAGCCTGATGGTTACCCACATGCTTGTTGGGTGTTAAAACGGTTGATGCCCACGTTATTTGACTTCACTCTGTCCTTTTGCTGTGTGTTTGCATTGTAGCTTCTATGCTTTTAAAACAAGCAGACTTCTGGTTCATCAGGTTCCAAGGCAAGTGGGGCAAACAAGAAGTGACGATTATCTGGAAGGCAACTATTTTTTAGCCTGTACTACCTGACAGGCTGCATGGTTGCATGGTGAATTTGGCAATCACCACCTTGCTATAGCACGGGTTGGGGTTTAATGGATCCCAATCACCATATTATAACAAGGTTCCATGATAACTCTTGCAACCGATATAGTGCCTTATCATAAGCAAAAATCCATCTCCAAGCAGTTCAAAGAGTTTTCTATAAACTACAGCGACTGTGTATTTGTAGATACACACAACAGCCAATTTGGCACAGCAAATATCGATGCCCAGTTTTTCTGTTCGGCGGATTTTGGCCTAGACACTGCAAGGAAGTCCTTTTACTTTTCAGATAAAGTCATGAATGTAAACCTCATAAGTCAGGATACAACCCATGTAAACTTGCAGGGTATCTAAACTATACTGTATTTTGCACACCTTTGCTAACCATCGTTATTATTATTTTTATTAACCATTGCTGCTTTTTATCTTGTTTCATCTATCCCATTTGGATACGATCGAATGGATTATCTTTGCCATGGTTTGTAGAAATGAAAATAAAAGGGATTCTTTCGCACAAATCTGTGAGTATATTTGAATACTGAATAGTTTTTTTTCCAATTTGAAATCGAGGCCAAAACAGGCAGCTTCAATACATTAAAAAGGTGTCATTTTATTATCCTTGTACAATCATGTTAATCTCTGTGTTCGTCAGGTGAAGATGAGCAGTGGCAGAGTATGCAGGGACATTTTCTTAATGTCAGCATTATGGCCATTCCTTGCCTTTGTTCCGTGGCACCAAGAGGCCTAGCACCTAATACCAGGTCAGTGGAGTCTTAGAAGAATTAGGCCAATGTCTATGAATTCTGGCATCCCACTCTTGAGGATTTGGCTTTATTCCCAGAAAATCCTGGCTTTGCCCTGGGGTAGTCTGGACTCCTGTGAGAATAGGGACTGGAGTTGACACTGTAACCTCAAGGATTGTAAGTGGTTGTCGATCAGTCTGCTAAGGTCAAGGCTCTTCACTGAAATAATCAGCAGATAATTACTCTGATTAAAATCGGGGGATGGGGGTGCAAGTCCGATTGTAGAAAGGCCGACACATCTGCTGTGGTTTCTCAAGGATAGTGCTAAAATGTACTTAAATGACTTGTCTGCAACCTGTAACACAATTTTTTTTAATGCGCTAATCTGCTTAAATACTCCAGACCCAACAAAAAGCGCACTAGCATATCATTCACACAGTTAAATCAAACTGCTATGGACAAGGATCCTCTAGACTAAACGTAACTAAATGGATTGGCACAGTTGTAGCATGTAGTTTTTTCCCCACTAAAAAAAAACTTATTTGATACTTGGTCATAAACATGCTGTTAAAATCATTGACCCTTATTAGAAAACACACAAATTCTAACCATTTATTTTTCTGGAACCCAACATTGAATTTTTACCTTTGAAGTAAATACAATGCACGTTCTATTAATATTTTATTTCCTTTTTTTTAGGTTGGATAACGGAAGCATGGTGCTTACTGCTGTCCGAAACACCTCTCGAGCAGATTTTATAAAACACCTAAAACGATACGGTAACCTAAAAAATCAGGTAAACTCAAACAGGTGATTTTTTCCGACCCACTGAGTTAGTATTCCTAGATTACTGACTAAGAAATCCTTCTCTGTTAATAATGTTAACATGCTTTGCCATCTTAAGAAGAATTAGTTTCCTGTCAGAAGACATTAGATCTTAGTTTGTTATTTTTAGTAAAACACTGTACAGATTAATACAGATTAGCTCATTTCAGTCTGTCACGATTTTACAACTCCAAGCCTTATGGCTGTTCTATAAGTAAATGCAGATCCAGCTGTACATGTACGTTCACTGACTTGTCAAAATCGAGGACAAATGCACTGTTTTAGTAATTTCCTCCTTTCTTTGGCAGTTAGACAATTTTCCAAAGACTCCACAAAAGTCTCCGTCTCTTCCTCCATTCTTTATTCCCCTCAATCTAATAATTTTGCAAGAAACAAAAATGAAAGGAGAATATTTAATCAAATAGGGGGGGGAAAATTATAAAAATATACTCTCGCTTGAATCATGCTCCTTTCCTGTTACCTGGTCCCTCCTATTTCCAGCAACTCTGACAACTGATGAAGAGCTGTTTGTCTGTCCATTACCTTTAATGGAACAGGAAACTTGGAGCAGCCTGGAGCTAGCTCAGAGATGTCTAGATCCAGCAAAATTACTACAGAAGTGGCTAAAGTTTCAATAAAAGCCATTGGCACTCGGTTCATAATTGTTAAATTGCAAGATGACAAAATATCTTCACGGTGAGCTTCGACTTACACACTCTCTGCATTATTTTCTTCCATGTAGTTTAACTTTCCCTTCGTGGAGTTGTACACAGTGCAGGAAGTTAAAATTCGTTCAAGAACCAAAAGTGGATGGGCCGAAGATACATACGAGGAAAATGCGGATTTCCATTCACACCATTCTTCTGTGATCTCTTTGGAGGGAAGTTGCCCTTGGAATATTGATGGAGATTTAATGGACGAAGCCTCAGAAGTTCACATCAAGTAAGGAGAATAACTTACAATAAACTATTCATATACCAATTCATTTGTGAGGCATGAAAAATCTGTTTAAAACTTGTACGCCTGAGCTTTACTCAAGTAAAAATGGCACAAAATACAATATCTCTCAGACAGACCATGAAGCATACATTTCAATTAGTGCTCAAGCGATCTCTGTTATTTCCTTTGAAACACTTTATATTAGTAAACATAAAACAGGATCATGTTATAGAGTCTTGACCTCTGATTTCTGTAATTTTGTATTGCCTTCCATAGGGTCCATCCACAACTGATCACTCTGTATGGGGGGATTTTTGAGGAATGTGATGATTCAACAGTGAAATGCAGCTGCCTATAGCATTGACCACAGCAAAAGACTTCGAGAATTTTGCTTTACTGAAAGTTCCCAATACCTTCTTCACTTTGCTTTACTGAAAGGTGATGTGAGTTCTTAACACTTCAGAATTGCAGCAGGAACATACTGGATTGGGAAAACCCACTATGTACATACACAACTTAAACATAATTTTGCTTTTACACAGTAGCTAAATCCATGAATGTAACACTTTAAAGAATATGTAATTTTTTTGTATTCTTTAATAAGTTGCATATTTATCAATAAAATACTTAATCACATATTTATATTGCACTGAAGGAACACAGCAAAGTATAACACAGCAACACTGATTTCAGAATCATACCTTCCACAAAATGGCTAAAATATAAGAGGTCAAACGAACAATTTTCTGAAAGTGGTGGAATTCATTGCCTGGTTCCTGAAGTCACTCTTGAAATTCTGGTTCTGTATCAAAGATATGGAAGATGAAGTGTGGATATTTAGAAATTAATGTTAAGAATATCAAGTTATGAAATCTATGAACATGTATGAGTCTGAAAATGTATCCATGTTATTTAATTGTCTCTGTAAAACCCTTGCCTCCTATTTTCTTTACTCCCAGTACAGAAAAATTGAAAGTAGTATTGAGAAAATGATTATTGATTGCTGCCTATATTTTTAATGCAATGCCTTACTTATTCCCAATTAACCCTGTTAATTCTATTTCTGTTATCCGTCTATGCAATCTATCATGTTGACTGTTGTTGTCCTGTCATTATTCATCTATTACTGTAACATACTGGTTTCCTTCTACAGAATGTGAAACTTCTTCCAGCAAACAGATATGCTTTTTGTTTTCCAAGTAGCTTCTGACAATCTCCGATTGTTGTACAGTTCTGCATTTCTTTATGGTTTTAGTTCCCCAATACTTTCTAATTTTTTGACCCTATAGTAAATGGTTAATTCATAAAAGTTCTCCGTGACCACCCACCCCACACACCTACGCTAATATTTTAGTCATTGATTAGAAAGCCAAATAAAATACAGAACTGATTAGGCTGCAGATAATTAATCCATCAACAAAATATATATTAAATGCTTTTTAACTGTGCCTTGGACTAAAGAGCTGCAAATGCTAGTTTAACTAACAGTTTTTTAATTAAAAACAGTATTTCCTGCTTACTAACAAGTCGGCATAGTGATTGAAGGCAGGGCCACCGATGGTGTAGCGGAGAGGACAAGGGACAAAAAGGAGGCCAGTAGTGCAGTCGAGAGGAAAAAACATATGCCGAGTTGTATTGTTGGCGGTTTGTTAAATAGGAACTTGAATCATACGAGTGCGGTCCCATGGTCAGGTGTGGATGAGGGCGGAGAGGCGATGGAGGAGGACAGCGTGATCGACTGTGTCGAACGTAGCTTAGAGGCCCGGGAGAACAAGGAGGCAGAGGGAGCCCTGGTCAGAGAGAGAGAGGATGTAATTTGTTACCTTGATGAGCACGATGACTGGTCTATAGACTGTCTGGAAGCCAGACTTGAAGAGAATTCAGCAATCACATTTATGAACAAATCACACTCTTCAAAAGAATTGATTTGTTCATGGTCATCAGAATTGGTTTGTTCATCGTCATCACAATCGATTTGTTCATCGTCATCACAATTGGTTTGTTTATCAGTATACTTCCAACTTGATTTCCGAGCCCAATTTCTTTTCGGTCGTTTAAAGAATCCAAACTAGAACAAAGCACAGAATTATTAATCACTTTAACTGCTTAACCTTTTACTTGTAGTAGGGGATTGTTAGCCAGGGCACTCCGAAAAACTCACTTTTCTGTTTGAATAGTGTCTTTGACAGAGTGCGATCTCTAGAATCTCATCTGAAGGATGAAGTGCAACAGTGCAGCACACCCACAGCTTTGTATTGCAGTGTCAGCCTAAACTATGCGAGTTCAAAGTACTCACTTGGGGTACACAATCTTCTAAGTGCCACAATTGAGACCGGATAAAACCCCCAAATCATTTAGAATCAGGTGGTGTACAGAAAACTATACTAAACATAGAACCTAGTGGAGAAAAATGAACTGAAGAATCATAACCATGTGTCAGCTTGGGTCAGTAGTAGCACTCTCCCCTCTGAGTCAGAAGATTGTGGGTTCAAATCCCATGTCGGGACTTGAACTCAATAGTCTAAGATGACACTCCAATGGAAACCTGGAGGCTGTTACATTGTCGGAGGTCTGGTCTTTTGGATGAGACATTCAATGGAAATCCCGTCTGGCTTTCAGGCGGATGTTAAAGATCCCTTGGCATTCTTCAAAAAGTGAAGGGAGATCTTCTCGTGTCCTGGCCAACAATCCCCCAAATAAAATTGGTCAATCATGTCAAGGCTGTTTGTGGGACATTGCTATGGACATTCATGCTGGCTCATTTGCCTACAGATACACAGTCACACCATTTCACAGTAAATCCTGTGAGGCATTTTGAGACATCATTCTGACCTGATAAGGTTCTTTACCAAATGCAGGGACAACAACAACAAATTACGTTTGTATTGCGTCTTTCACATCGGGAAGACATCCCAAAGTGCTGGATAGTCAGGGATTTGGACCTAATCCAGAGCAGTGGAGGGCAGGGAGGGCAGTGGTAGGAGGGCAATGAAAGTCGCGGGTGAAGAAGAGGATCTTGAGACGTGCCTTGAAGGAGGTAAGGGAGGGAGGAATACAAAAGTTGGGAGGCAGAGAGACTGAAGGCCCAACCACCGTAGTGGGGCGGGAGCAGGCCAGAGCCTGCTGAGCGGAGGGAGAGGACAGGTCGATATGGTGTTAGCAGGTCACAGAGGTAGGAATGAGCAAGGCAGTGTACGGCTTTGAAGACGACGATGAAGATTTTGAACTCTATCCTCTGGGGGATGGGGAGCCAGTGGAGTAAGGTGAGTGTGGAGGTGATAGGGTCACAGAATCTGGTGCGGGACTATTATTATTATAAACTTACACAGAATCAACATTGTATGCAGCACTACAGACACTCAAAGCAGAACGAAAATTTAAAGGAAGTCAACTGCAGTGACATGATTGCTGTTCTTTAAGATTCTAAAGGGGCAATACAACGTAGATCGTGACAGGCTGTTTCAACTTGTCCAGAATAGTAAAACCAGAGGACACGGGCTGCGATTGACGTGTGTAAATTCACAATAAATCTACACACACGCTATTTCAGTGAGCGAATAGTGAACCTGTGGAACAGGCTCCCTAGGGAGACGGTTGAAGCAGGAAGTGTGGATTCTTTCAAACACAGATTAGACCGTTTTCTTTTAGGAAATAACATTATGGGATATAGTACATAAGTAGTTTGGGACATAGGTGCATGCGACTGCCAGGAAGGTGGAAGGCGAACTAGATGGACCTTGTTCTTTTTTCGTCCAGCATTTCTTATGTTCTTAACTATTCACGATTTCCCCAATATCTCACTGCTAGTGCCAGCAATGTGTGGGAGTTGCCACAGAATGAAAAATAGTTCACGTTTTAATAACTTTTCATACAAATAAGTTAGGATACCTATCATCAGAATACTCTTGGATTTTATGCAATATTAATGGTACAATTTAGTTGCTGCTGCTTTACTTGTAATAGGAGTGGATTGAAATATTTATCTTACCTTCTGCAAACAATGTATAAATAGAAAAAGCAGAATAATGCCCAGGATGCAACTCATTCCTACAATCATATATAGGACATATTTTCTCGGCTGAAGACTTTGCAGTGCATTCAAGATAATCTATGAAGAATGACCAAAATTATATAAAGAACATAAGAAAAGTTATGGTTTGACATAAGCCATTCCATCCACCAACATACATCCCTCGATTAGATTACTTTCCCATCAGTGCATGGAACTGCATTTCAAATGACCCCAATGTTGTTTGCTTCATTTGAAAGGTTTTTTGACATATGTACACATTTTTATGGCTTTTGTCTTACTTTCCTGTCTTAATTTTCAAGTACAGTAGTATATATAGGATTTTATATGGGATTGAGAAAGTAAATTCAGACCCTCAAGCCTGTTCTGCTATTCTATTAGATCATGGCTGATCTGTACCTCAATCCCTCAACCACTTCCCTGCCTCACATATGGCATTTGAATAAGTTACCAGAAAAATTCCTGCACGTACAAGGGCAATTCCCAGGATTAGTTACGATTTTCACAAAATGAGGGGAAATGGGGATGAGGGGGGAAATTGTATTGCTTTTTACTAAGTTAGTAACTTTGAGAATACTTACAGTTGCAGTCTGGGCTGATATATTTTCAATTACTTTAAAATCGTTTGTTGATGCTACAGCCTCAATAAAAAGCTGAGTATCGGAAGCACTGTCCTATTGAAAGAAAAAGAAGTGAATTAAATATAGTATGTTGTAACTGCTTAGCAGTACAAAGTAAAAATTGCTAAGTTGTCATGACGTATTTTTAATGAAGTCCTGTATGATATTATTTTACAGTATAAAATAAGTATTTCAATATTTAAGCAGATATTACTTGGGAGTTTTAAAATTAAACTTGCATTTTATTACATGGCAAACAAAATGGTCATATTTCAAATTTGAACAAAGAATAGGAATACATGCAATAGTGACCAAAGTATAACTTACCATCTCCAGAACACGAGAATTGAGCTTTGTGACAAAATGAACATCGACTGTTTTTCGGCTTTCAATATCTCCGAGATGGCATATAATTGTTAAACAGGAAATGCCATGGCTTGAACAAGACTGGACAAAAATAATTCTATTTAATGATTGCATTTTTTAATGAGTAAAAAAACAACTGAAAACTATATTCTCAATCAGATGAAGTTTATCACAAAGACTATAACATCTTCCCTCACTTCCAGCAATGAAATCTATAATTCAATGTTTCTCTTACCACTGGTTTTCTCGAAGTCCTCCACACAAATTTATAAACTTGATAAAGTATCATTTCGGGTCCATTGCAGCCTTCAGAATGATTACTAAACTGGCACTTTCCATCACTGGACTGTTTTTTTAAAAAAAGTTACTTTGCAGATTAAAGAGGCGAGAACATTAATACAAATCATCAGTACATCAATATTAATAAACGATATGCCCACCTTAAAATATCTGCACAATAATGCAGACTATTATACAATTTGATATGCTGCAACCATAACTAACATGGCCAATGGCTTCAAACTTAACGTGTTCTTTGATGTTTTTGCTCAGTTTTAAATCAATCATATTCTGCTCTTAAAAAAATCACTGATTGAAATTAAATATTTCTTGGATTCCACCCCCCCCCCCCCTTCCCCATCAAACAAAATAACATCCCAAATTAATATCCCAGTCAAATATTACAGAGAGAAAAGAAATCTAAAGTGTCAACTCCAGGAAAGGCCTCTGATCCTGAACGAAGGAAAAAACTTATTTTATTTCACACGAGCCCAACCGAGAGCATTGATCTTTGCAGTCAATCCTTAAGGAATGCTTCCTTGACTAACGCCCGACTTTTACAGCACACTTAATTGCGTTGCAGAGCAAGTGTGAAGGCTGCATCATCAAGAAATTGCCTGAGTACCAGTGGGAGACTGATACAATCTGGTCACATCATTGAAACTATCAGCAGGTGATAAGCTAAGCAGGTAATCAAACCACAGAACCATCGAATTAGTGACTCCTTGAGTTTGTGTGGGACTCGATGCCTTCTCCGCGGCTCTGTTTAAATGTGACGTATCGTAAGTCAAGCTATTATGATATTGTGCCATCAGCTCAGTCATAAGAAATGACTAATGATCTCTAAGCAACAGGAAATAACCAATTTATTTTCTATTTTATGCACCAAGTTCGAAAACATGTAAACAAAAACAGAAGTCGCTGCGAACCACTCAGCAGGTTAGGCAGCATCTATGGAGAAATTTGTTCAATTGTATTTTCATAGTCTAATGACAATGCCTAGTTAGAGATCAAAAGTTTATTCAAAGAGCATTAACATCTATAATAGTGCAATTAACCCACCTTTATGTCATAAACTTCAAACAGTTTTAATCCATCTGAGTTCAAGGTGTTGGGCATCTTAATGTGCAGTTCAGTGCTTGGAGCTTTACTGTTCCCCATATTGATGACCTTGAAGAAAGTTACATTTGTACCGATAAAACACAAGTATTGTCTCTTTCAATATCTCTAGTATCATGCGGACTCGATTTGTTGTGAATCGCCAGGCTTTCTGATGGTGGGGAGGGGAGGATGCCAAATACAATGTGTGAAACATATAGCAGCCAATATGCACACAGTTCCTATGAAACAAATGATCAATTTACCGGAAAACTGTTGGCCTGAAAACATAATAATAATAATCCTTGCATTTTATAGAGCACCTTATCACAACGTCGAGACGTCTCAAAGCGCTTCACAGGATATACTGTAAAGTGGATTGACTATATTTTGTGGGTGAAATATATTATATGTGTATAATATATAGAGAGAAATGTATGTAAACATTTACATACTGAAAGCATAATAGATAGATTATTAACAGGGTCAGCTGTTGTGGAATACAAAAATATGAGGAAACTGATCAAACAATCATGGATGATTTGACCCACCAGAGAAATTATAAGAGGTATTAGGTTGCATGTTTGTCAGTGATAGAGCCACCGTTTTTTTATGAGATCAAACATTATTCCAAACAATGGCAGAATGCATCGCACCATTTTACTATGTGTACTTAAGCAATAAATTCTGTGCGTAAAGGCAATAAAAGACGGCCTTCCTTTGTACAGTGACAGGCCTGTTATACTATTTATAGTATTGTAGAGAATGTATTACTTTTATACTGTACTTTATATCTCCTGTTGAACAAACAAGAAAAAGATTGAAAGCAGAAGGAAATGAACAGTTCCTTAGAATACCTCTTCTTATCTGCAATTCAGTTGCCCTTGGATATCAAGGATCAAAGGTTCAAAATTTCACTCAGTCTTAGCCTCTAAAACCATTTTCTCTTAAAGATAATTCTTAATCTAAAAGCCGGTTCTACACACTGTGAAAATCAGCTTCTATATGAAGGCTAAATTTAAGAATTCTCTACAATTTTCCTCGATCTTAACTTTCAAGACAATGGCCTTACAATACTAAAACTGGATAGAATTTCAGGCTTCTGATGCCTGCCACTGACTTGCTAAGTTAAGCACAAAAGACACCAAAAACAAATAAAATAATGTACTACTGCTGATACGGATCTAACCACAGACACAAGTCATCCAAAAAAATCAGGGCCATTGAGTCCAAACTGGGTCAAAATTGGGTTATCATTGCCTTTAAGCCTTACCATGCTGTGCACACAAACTGTCTCAATGAGCTGCCAATAATTTACTCATCTGTTTCGAATCCATGTGCTTTTGCATTGTTATATGTTACATTTTTTTCCTGATTTCATTGGATTTCGACCACATTATTAATAGGTATGAACAATGCACAGGCCAATTATTTTTTATATGGTTGGTTTGCAGTTTTTTTCATATCAATGGTTGTTCCAGACAACGGTTAAGAAATCAACTAAGCAAATCCTTGATCCACATCAATCACAAGAGTCAAAAAAGACAGAAAAGTGATTAATTTAGTACTTTTAAGATTGGGGAGAATACAGTAAAATTTTCCCATTTCGGATAACCAGTGTCACCATCCAATTGAGGGAAGAGTGCAGTTAGATGCACCATAAGTCTCAACAATATATCTTCGCACTGATGACATCCCATACAATATTCTCAAGTATATTATCTACTCCTGATTGCAGATTAAGCCGTCTACAATCATAAGCACTCACCTTGCTTATAAAATCTTCAAGCAAAAGCTTAACATGATTAAAAACAAAAGAATGTCACATTTTGTGAATCTTGAAATGCTGAGGTTGTGGCATAATGTAACATTCCTATTCTCCCTATTCGCAGATGTAAGGGAGAGGAGAATAGCAGGATATGGGAAAAGGGTTTGGAAGAGACGGAGGCTGAAATAACAATATAAACACCGGTAAAGACTAGTTGGGCCAAATGGCCTGATTCCATGCTGTACCCCAACCCTAATATAATTCTTTGCAACACGTTTTGAGGGAGACACCCTTCCGGACCATGGTTAAAAATTAAATCAGCAACTGAATCTGACTGGCAGGGAAAAGCAGAACATGAAGCCATTCGAATTGAACACGGCAATGCAGTGTCACTTCCACAAAATCCAAGGACAATCAGCGCTACAGGCAGAGAGACATGTTCCATTAACAACTGACAAAAACAGGCACACACACACACTCTCACACACACTGTGCGATCTGCAGGACAATGACTTACTTGGTATGAAAAGTTGATAAGCTTGTATGGGCAAGATGTACCATAGAAATTTGTGATTCCCTGCTTGTCCTCTTCATCTCCCCCATAGTAAAAATGAGAAGGGAACCCAAATCTGTTTCAAAGAGAGATTGCAACACCATTTTGACAGGCTTTCTTTCGAAAAGTTATTGCTCAATACTTGTTTAATGTGCAGCTCCAGCAAAAAATGTTTACTGAGTGTGAAACATCTGCTCCCGGAATTCAGTAACGTTATCTGTGTGCTTTTGGAGGGTAATAAACAACATTTTAGCACCATCTGTGCTTTGAATTTCTCATTAACCATCAAAGAAAACTCAACGTAACATAGTTAACAACTTTTCACACAAAGCACCACATTTTTATTACTTTGTTTGGGAGTAATTAGACTTCAAAATGCAAAACAAAAAAAATTAAAGCCTTTTTTGAACAAGCAAAAAGTGAATTTCATTATTCATGTCCATCAGTGTTTTTTGCTTACTGATTGGTCAATGAAAGTGGGTCCAAACTGTATTGAACATCACCCTATCTTTTTGAGTATAACATTAGACACACAAATCAATAATTCTTATGTGTTATCAAGAATACATTAATAAAGTAAGCACACCATAGAACTATAGATATGTTAAAATACAGAAGGAGCCCATTCAGGCCATCGTGTTTGTGCTGGCACTTTGAAAGTTCAATTCATTCAGTCACATTTATCTATCTTTTCCCTATACCCCATCATATTAGAGACAGTCAATCATGACATTTAAGAAAAGAATAGTCTCCAGGAGCATTGTAGTATCAGGGTGCAAGCAGCAGTGTGTTTGGCAAATACTTAATATAGAAGTAAAATACATTTTAAAATAAAAATGTTACATTATAGATAATGACAACTTGCATTTATATGTAGAGCCCTGCACACCACACTGCGTCTCAGAGCACCTAAACATGTAGATTGCACCATACATCTAGAAACCTGTAGTTTAGACAAATTATAATAATTTGATAACTGCAGTCAACTCTCACAACACATTTTGCAAAGTTAATGTTGTGTGTAATATATTAGAATACCATGTGGCTAGAAGCCAAAAATCCACATAGGGTTTTTGATGAGGAAGTAAAGTCAGGCAGCAATGTTAGCAAAAAAGAAATTGAGTTGAGTGCACTTGGATTAGGTTATCAGGGATGTGCTTGCTAGAGATGCAGAAACACAAGCATACAAACATTTGATATCCACATTCAGAGGCAACGCACCAAAATAGTGTGAACTACAGACCACTTACCCATAGACCTGAAGATTAACCTCATATTTTAATGGTAAAACAAGAGTGATAAAATTGTCATTGAGTAAATCCAGATGCTGTTCATTTTCACTGTGGGAAGAAACACAGGAAATTTACAATCTTATTTAAGAAGTATAAAATGGAATACATTTAGCTTGTACGCGCAAAGTATAATTTTAACACATTGTTAAAATTCTTAAGAGTCCGAGGTTGGGTGTACCTAATCCTTCAGTCTATACAAAGATGTGCGAATGAAGAAGAATTATGCACAATTTTTTTTAAAGTGTCTTCACAAAATTGATTTTCGTTGCTTGAAACAGTTTTGTCTGTGTCGTCAATAAAGCAGTTTGTCGTTTTGTTTCTCTACAGGATTCTCTACTTAATGAATGGGCTTCCCCTGCAAGGGTTTAAGGAAGTCGAAAGGCTGCATCTTAACAAGCAATGCACAACTGTAGCATTGTGTCTTAAAATCTCCTCGTAGAGCTTACCAGGTTGCGTTAACGCTGATGGCTATATTTTCCTGTGCGCTGATAATCCTGCTGGCATCCAGAAGGAAAGTAACTCCTACCTGCGTAGCAAATACCATAATAGTGATTTTAAAGTCTAGCGCAACCTGACCGACAAATAGAAAGACTTCATCGAAATACTGATTAGAAACAACAATAGTAATTAGATAACTCTCATGATACATTGTGCGGCCACCGACAGTTGAATTTCCTGCCAATACTCAGTGTCCGGGTTCACACAAATAGAGTGGCCAGTTAAACAAGGAATCAGATGGTATCTGGCACATTCGGTGCCATACCCTGAATGAATCAGTGTTTCAGAAGAGGAGAAAAGGAAAATAGTCACATGCACATGTAAGAACAGTTCTCTGTTTTAGTGAAGTGGTCCTAATCAGAAGACAGACAGATGAGATTTGAAAACACAAGATAATTTCATTAATTTACCCTTGATAGAGCGTCAACATATACGTGTCCAACACTGCAGTTCAGTGCTGTTGTTGGATGTCCTGTTATCAGTTCACAATGTATTTGATTCTCCTCCTGTAATTCAAAAAAATACAATGAATATCTACAAAAGGACATTGTAAATGCAAGTTGTTGTTGTTGTGAAGATTAAGTGCTAGGATATCACAACAAATTTTCAAACTTTTTCATAATTTATAAGTAAAGTTTCACCCACAATTCACTTTAAAGTATATTCTGTGAAACGCTTTGAGGCGTCTCGAAGACGGGATACGGCAGCATATCAAATGCAAGGATTATTATTATCAGATTATTAAGTTTAGATTTTAATAATTAAGGCTTAAAATCAAAACTCGGCATTTTGAATAGCAAGCTGTCAACTGTGCAAAGGTTTTTTTTTTGAAAGTTGTGTGAGTAAAATCAGTTCATACCCCATTAATTCTAACATTTAATGGTGCAATATTACTGTATGAAACCCATTGATCTTACCAAAACAGATAACCGTGCCCCCAAAACAAACTCTCTAAGTGCATTTAAAAAATTTGACAGACTTTCAATTTTCTAACATAAAGGTTATTCGTTTAAATACTTGTTTTTCCACACACACTTTCACCATTAATGGAAAGGCAATTAACATAAATGGGAAACTAATTAAATTGCCTTAATCTTTTTTGTTTCGGTTGTAAGTTAATTCTCTAATTAGTTGTTTTGCATCACTTCACATAAATTTTAGACTTATTAATCATTTTTCAACTCAGCATTTTTGTTTGCGGACCCATAATAGTTTATTAACCCTCTCAAAATTCTAGACATTTTGAAACTGTATCAATACATGATACAAAAGGGGGAATCATTTTTGGGGGTGTCAGCCAAGTGACACATGTGAAAACCTATCTTGGTGCTTAAGAATATCCAAACCAGATAGAGTTCCTTGAATGCAACTTACACTTGTGAATTTTCATGCATCGGGAATGGAATGCACACTCCCTTCCTGGAGGGACACGTCCTGCTTACTTAATCCCTGAGTGTTTTAGGCGCAGGTTGACAAGAGCCAACAATTTGGTGACACCAGAGTGTGCGGTGGGGAAACTGCTGGAATTGAACAGGTAAAACCGCATAGCTTGCCATTGACATCACTGTCTGGCAAGCTTTCCGGCTGCTTGTCCAGCTGGGACAACCCTACCCACTGGGGCTTTGGCTTGTAGGGATAACCGGAGCTGAGTTGGAAGAATCCCACCCTTAGTAACCGACCAGTCTGCGTCTTAACTCCTGCTGATGAGCCAGACTAGCTGGTCTGTCATCAGCACTGCCTGGGCGTAAGGAGACCACTGAGCTGCCACACGGGATCAACTTGTTTCCGACATTCGGAAAACCATCACTACAACATAAAGAGCTTCACCAATGTTCTACCCCTTGCATTAACTGGATTTCAGGATGTACAGTGAGCTGTAACATTTAAAAGTCTTTGCCACACACTCCCACACTGATTTTGGCAGCTTTGCAATGTGAAAAGTAAACTTCATATTAATTTCAATTAGAAGATTCAGCAATATATCATATATTTTCACATATGATGTTATTGGAGCAGAACAAATTCATATTACCAATCCCCAATAAATGCACTAATGATTCATATTGATGTACAGATTTATATACATTAGCTTGTATGTTTTATATTAAGTTTTCCTTGTTGCCTTATTTTCTGGTTGAACTTTCACAATAATTATATTTCTGGCACTTAATATGCTGTCTTGTGTCCACTGTAGAGATTCAATGCTTAGAAGACTTTGTTTACAGCGAACTTGATACAATGCTATATCAAGATGACCTATTTGAGACCACATCTTCAATATTAAACAATTATTTAGTCAGCTTTCTATCGGCATGAATTCAAATGTAAATCCGCTGCACCAATTCACACAACATTCAGAGGGTGATGAAATCGGAATTTGTGATTCTAGATTGTGTCAAAGAAGCGAAACTTACCACTTCAACCACTTTGATAAAGTACAAAATGTTTGGGAATTGAACATAAAGGAAACTAGAATATGCATCATCCCCTGCATTGAATAAAGATACATTCAGTATGATTATCTTCGCATCCTGAACTGGCAGATAAGATTTGTTCACATGGTCCCTGAAAGTAGGAGTGGGAAGAAAAAAAGCATCCTGTTAATGCAATTTTGAAATGACCATATATATCCGATACATTGAAATCATTTGTACTATAGTTTGTTCACCCATGCAAAATGAAACAGTCATTGCATTTTACAGTATATCCTGTGAAGCAGTTTGGGACATGAAAGGCACTGTACCAAATTAAGAATTATTATTATTATTATAATAGATTGGAGATACACAGCAAAAGACTGGGAGATGGTTATGATCCCTATCACGTTCTTATTCCAGTGTGCAATCACAAACATCGCTGAAATAGTCTAGGCACAGAACAAAATGCACGATTTGAATATGAAGCAAAATGAGCTGAGTGTTATTATTTCAATATTCAGTATTTGTCATCTTCTGCAAGTATACAATCGCGTAAAACCTCACGTTTATATTTACGAGACACACATCCACGGATTGATGTTCCACAACTGTTTTTTTTTCCAACCAGAAAAACACTATTTGTAACATATTCTGGCTTTTAACCAGAGCATTAGTCACTGAGCACCTTTGGGATAGAAATCTGGCACCGAGACAAGAAGTGGAAGGTGAAAAGGAGCAGGGGGGGGAAAAAAGAACATAGTTGGGGTTTAAAGTAGATGCAAAAGAAAAGCATAGTTTGCGATTCACGTGCATTGTTTTTTTTTAAACAGAACACACATACTTTAGTTTCAGTAACATTTTGCATTCCTCTATTTGGCGCAGAATAATATTGCTACCATTGCCCTAAATGAGTTGTGTACGCTGGCTCATAATGAGGTTTCCATGGTGCTGCCAATGAGATGCTTACCAGCCTGGTGCTGGGAATACAGCAGAGCACCAGGTGTACAACTGGGAGCGTGACAAGGGTACGCTAAAGACTTCTGCTGATGAATAATCTTTTTTTTCTGTCCTACATAAAATTAACTGGCATAGCATAAAGTCAGACACTGAAGAGAGGAGAGAGAGAGAGAGAGAATGTACTGCCCCCGAAAAATAGTAGAAGTAAATGTGATTCAAAACTGCACGGAATAGCAAAACAACTCCAAGTGTTATGATAAAAGCAATAGTAAATCGTACATAACTCCAAAACAACCATTACAGTTACTGTTTTACGAGTGCAACTATTCGCATCTTGACATAAACGCCATAGTGCTGTCTACTTTCCCTCCCTCCAAAAAAGAAATGGATTCAACTGCAGTGCAATAATTAGTTTAGTCACGCATTTAAATGCTTTCACAGGACGACTTGGGAATCTCGGAGATAAGGCAGCTCATGCGAGGCTTATTGAAACATAAATATTATAAACCTCTTTAAAATCCACAGAACATTGTAAGGCTCAGGGGAAACACACCTACGATTTTTGTGAGGCTTTGGACCGAACTGCTACGACCGAAGAGCCATCATAAAGAAGGCGGAAATTATGAGAATACATTTTTTTTCAGGTTGTACTTTCCAAATCCAAGATCCATATAAGAGTCGATGGGAGACTCATTGAATCTCTCTCACAAAAAATAGGTAAGGCAGGGTTGTCCACTGTTACTCATCCTATTCAATGTAACAGCTCCTGAAGCTCCGCACCACCCAACTAGTGGAACCACTGCTCAAAGGACAAGGCCGTGCGTGTGTCCATGGTGTGGTCACAAGAGCATGTTCTAATGCTCTCACACATTTCATACTGAGCGGTGCTGTGTGGTGTTACTGGAATCTGCTATCTGCTTAGCAAGGGCTCACATGTGTGCTCAACAGATGTCTAATGGCCAACCAGTGACTATCGTCTGGGGTGCAGGTGCTGGGTTGGGGCTGGGTTGGCACCAATATGACATACTTGGCATTGGAATATCAGAATCCAATCAACCTGCATCAAAATGCTCTGAGATTATGTAAAGAGAATGCAATCCCTCTGGTGAGAGTGTGTGCACTCCAAGCTTGGATATGGAAATCGTATCTGTATAGAACTCTCAATAGTTTGATTTGGAGACTGTTAAACATGGCGATGGCCATGCGTATCAAGGCACCTGGCTGACAAAAAAAAGCACAGAATGACATTACATGACACCTCCACTAAGTTTTACCTGCTCTGTAAAATGCATCACAGTCCCTTGGTTTACCTATGTATGACTGAGAAATGCGTTGACAGAAAAGGAAAGTTTCATTTCACATAACAAATAGAGGTCAAAACAAATGCTTTTATACTAATTCAAGGTGCAACAGGAATATACATCCAAAATTCGAGCTAATGGCAGTCGGTGAAAGTGTAGATACGATCGGCTTAACAGAGAGATGGCATTGGGATCTTGCTGTCTGCCTCATTGAGCCATTGGTAAAGTGTAGCCTATTTTTAAGGCAATTGTATGATTGAAATGGCAGATTTCCCAGTAACAGCAAAGAACATATCAATGCATTTCAGCACTGCTTTTCTTGTTCCCTAGCATTGCGTTTGAAAGGATTTTTCTTACAAAATAATAAAGATTCCTGACCACAGAGAGAACCTTTCCCTGAGCGCTCATTGGCTCAAGTTACCTGCTCCGTATTTGCCAAGTCTCGTGTAATTGGATTCGAGGATGTGTACAAGTAAATTGCCCATTATCCACGATTTAGTTTAAAGATGCATTTGAGATAATTAAGGGTCATTGGTTCAAAACCAGCAGCAGATAGATTTGTCCTGCTGAGCTCGATATACGATCATGGGAAACAGGAGGAGCAGTGGTTTTGTATTAAAAGCTAGTTTAATTAAAGTACTGAGAACGCATTGATCAGTTCCCCAAAAAGTAAATACAATAACGAATAGGTAAATACTTAATGACATGAACAGTTACATTACACTGCAGTTTCTTTTTGTACAGTATCCACTGAGCAACAATTTAGAGAAAAACAAAAGGGGGCATAACCCTCTCTTCCACACTTTTTACTATTGTACTCATTAAAAGCAAATTGCTACAATTTAACACCTGATGCTCATCCAGGTGATGAAATGATCAGAAACACTAGGAAAAGCACAATATTTTGGTTTGCAACAAGCAAATTATTTACATGGGGAAACAAAAACTAATGTATTTTAATGGGTACTTCCCAGGAACATGCTCTGCAAATTTAGTAAACATGTTTTTCTTCCTTTTTCAGCTGAGAATTGCATTTCCCTAATTAATTTCTTTGTACGTGCAACTCAATTCTGCCTGATCTGATTTATACAAACCACTGATCTCCTCACCCACTGTAAATTCTATTTAGGCACCTTATTTGCTGTACTGAACTTGCAAAAATATACAATTGTTGGCATCATCTACTGCTCTTCCACAAATCACTAACAAAATAGCAATGGAGTACAACCTTTTTATCATTGAGCTATTATCATAGAATAGAAACATATAGCACAGAAGGAGGCCATTGTGTCTGTGCCAGCTATTTGAAAGAGCTATCCAACTAGTTCCAGTTCCCCGCTCTTACCCCATAACCCTGCAAATTTCAAGCACCTAAAGACTCTTCTCTTCGACCATGCCTGTAGTCACCTCCCCATTATGTCCTGTGGCTCAGTGGTTAGAGCACTCGCTTTGCAAGTGAGAGACCTGAGTTCAATTCCAGGCAGAGGGCGAAACCTTGGGCAAGTTTCCTTACTCCACACAGAGCCTAATAATAATCCCTCCAAAAACCAAAAACAATAATTAAATTGGTCATTTTCAATCTACAACTGTTTGTGGGACATTGCTGTGCGCAATTGGCTGCCGCGTTCGCCCATAAATATACAGTCAATTAACTTTACAGTGTGTTCTGTGAAGCGCTTTGGGATGTCCTCCCGACGTGAAAAGCGCTATATCAAATGCAAGGATTATTATTATATTATTATTATTTATTTATAGCTATTGCTGCTCTGAAAGTCCTTCTTAGCCTGAAGAACACAAATGTATTTTCTTTTTATATCTGGCGCATTACCCAAAGTTTAGACTGGCTAAAAATATTAATAACAAATGCCACTACACCATTTTTAGAGACATAACACATTCAATGGTAGTCCGTCAGATTTTCTATTCAGCAGCCAGTGCGCAGTCTTGACAATCAGGGGGAAATCCATATTACTCTCTTTGTGGATAGTATTTCTAAACCAAAAGATTTGCTGAACAGGCTTTACAAAACCAGTCTGGCCAAGTGTGACAATTGTCTGTATATGTTCTTGCCCATCGCTTTGCATAGGGAGACGAGGTTGAAGTGGAGAGCAGCTAATTGACCACTTTCTAACAATCTTATTCCACTTGGAAGCTTCATTTCCACAAAATCAGCCAAAATCAGTGGGGTTGTTATACCATCACCAAATTCCTTGAAGACTTTAGAAAACCCAGTTGGTGACTACAAACAGGGGTAGGCTGTTTCCAACACAATTTACAGTCTGTACAACCAAGGTAAACCAATCTCATTCCCCGATGTTACCAAAATAATCATCGCCACATTCGTTCAATGTGTATTTTATATGAGTAAGTCATACATGAGAATAAATACAATAAACCTGTCAATAAATAACATGTAGAAACATTACAAAGAACGATACCTACCCTTTCAGTATTATTACCGCAGAAACATTCAAGTTAGCGGCACAGTCTTGAAATGCACAATATCGCTCAAAATAAGTCTGTACAGAAAGGAAGAATATACTTCAGCGCTCCAATTCAGATGTAATATCCAGGCATTAACGAACCACATATAATGTACACAGCAAGTCATAACTATATTATTTCACTTCATATCTTACATTAATATTATTAAAAATGTAATAAAAATGTCATAATCTGCACCCTCCCCACCCCCCGACATTCATTTATCTCGCAATATAGTGCCCTGTCAATAATATTTCCATAAGTTGCATTCCAAACAACAACTTATATAGCGCCCATCATGCAGGCTAGGGTCTCGGAGTGCTTAACAGTGGCGGAGTTTGGCGCCCAGCCAAGGAGAGGTGGGAGGTGACCGTAGGCTCGGTCGAAGAGAAAGTTCTTCAAGTGTGATCGGAAAAGGGGAAGGAGGAAGCTCGGCAGAGGGATTGAGCCAGAGAGTTCCATAGTTTGGGGACAGAATGGCTGAAAGCACAGCCACTGATGGTAGAGCTGAGGGGATGAGGGATGTGCAAGAGGCTAGAGCCAGCTGAGCAAAGGTAGTGGAAAGGGCTGTAAGCAGGTCGGAGATGTTGGCATGAAGTGATTTGTACACAAAGAAAATCAGAAGAACTAATTTGTGATTATAAAAGTACTTTCTACATAGAACAAAAAAAAACGAATCGAATGGATTTTCTCGCACGCACCTTATTTCTGACGATGTTGCTTTCGCCTTCCTTCTGCTGAAGAACAGGCTGAAGTGGAGAAAAAGTATCCTTAGACTCGTTCTTCATGAAATGTTTGCCTAAGAAATACTCCATCTCAAATTGCACTGGCGTTCTGAGATCTCGTACTGTTCCCTTTAAAGAAAAACAGAAACCAGTCAGAGCAAGACCGCGAATGAGTTCACTAACACGGCATTGTTTGCGGACTTTTCATCTAACCACGCTTCTTAGGAAGTCTCTGCCGTAAATTAAAAATGCTTCGGTTGCTTCTTGGAAATTATTCTGCATGCTTTAATTAGATGGCGCCTGAGGGAACCTGGTAGCACAGGTTGTACGGTGGCTGAGTCCTGACCAGATGGTCATGGGCTGGAACCTCAGGTTTTCCAGTCGTTCAAGCATGCCTGCTACTGTTGACACTAAGCTCTATCTCATCAAACACTGGACTGCAGTAGGACGGCAAAATGTGCTCACTCAGAGGACAACACATAATTGAGTAATGAAGCGGTGAGAGATTTTAGTGCACCATTATTAAGCTCGAAGCAAACTATCTGGTGATGGGAAGAAGAATTTGCTTTTTCATAGTGCCTTTAGCCTCAAAGTCTGTCCTCCTAATAAGAGGGTCGTAGGATTGAACAAGAGCGCTCAGTCGGTCAAATTTGTTCGACTTCCTTCTGGAGCAAGCCAGATCAATTTACAGCCTGTTCACTGGCTGACTGACACTTGGGGAATTTGAATACTCAAATTTGAATTTGTTTATGCTGCAAACGTACTTCAGTCAGCAAATCACAGAACAATATTTATTACAGTCAACTGGTTTCTACAAAGAACAAATTTACTGTATTAAATCATCCGATTACGACAGGGAGGCTGTTTATACTAGCTCGTGACTTTACAGTGCTAGCCCTAAGCTAAGAACAAGACAGAGTATTTGACCTGATAAGCAAGTGGGATAAATAACTATTGACTCTTTATATGATGTACAGCAAAGCTGCAATAGCTGCAAGTTGACACCAAACAGGTATTTGCAGGTATAATATAAATCTTGTACTTTAGATTGTTAAATCAAACATACAAGTATTTAACATCCTCAGCGTCACCTCCCGCAATTCTCCTGAGATGTTTGCATAAGCAAAGTGAACAGCTTGAAGCACTGACTATTCCAATACTGAATTTGATTAAATGATTCCCCAGGTGCATGAAACAGACAAGCGATGATTGTCCTTCCACATGCCCACTGTTTCAATTCGTACATGTATGCTTGCTTTTGACCCAAATTACATGTCATCCAATTCATATCCATATCCGCAAGGAGTATTATGCATCTGTCAGGCAATAAACATACATTTCTAATTAATGATTAATTATTATGTACTCTGAATATCTAAAACTTACGCTAGTAGCTCTTTAATTTGAGAGATAATCAAACTTATTTATCCTTAATGGCTTCATCAGAGCCGACTCTCCTTTAGCTGGCAATGTGGAAATCCCTTCCATTTGCTCTATAAACAATAATATCCATTGTATTTTCTTTGGCCCTGAAAGTCTGCATTATAAAAACCACTGTGTGAAACACTTAAAACTATTGATCTTCTCAGTCATAATTGCAGGACTGGTATATAATTGACTGCAATTATTTCTTAGACCTTTGAGAACAAATCGAAAATGAAATAGCGCACAATTTTGAATGAATTTTGATAAAAAGGGAAAGATCATCCCAGTCATACCTGTGAAGGTTACGTTACTTTGAATGTTTTGCCAAAAGCTGCAATACATTCTTAAAGAGAGAATGTTTTGCTCATAAAATATACAGTCAATTCACTTTACAGTATATTCTGTGAAGTGGTTTGAGAACCCTAGAAGACGTGATAAGGCGCTATATCAAATGCAAGGATTATTATAAATATTATGTTATACCTGACTTGGCAACACTTTACACACTCTGTGCCAAAAGTAAGAAAGTTTATCACCATAATCATCCAATGTCCCATTTAGTTTTTTTTACACACACCATCAAATAGAACAGAGACATAACTACTTTCAAACAATCAACAATAATTTGCCAAAACAGTTATAGATACCAACGGTTGTTAAAGATATCAATTAGTGTATATTTTTACATTATAATTCAATATAAAAAGAAAGCCACACCTTTGACATTGAATGACTGACTGGTTTAATAATAATCTGCGATTGGAAAAGCTACGTTGGAAATGATTCTAACTTACCTTCAGAATTGCTTGATGGGTCTTACATTTAGCAATATTATGATAGATTTCAATCAGTTCTGAAGTACCATTGAAGGTTTTGGATATTGCATGAAATCGAGAAGGAAAGCCAGTCTTTGTAAGGACATCCACGTGTAAGTTATACTGCAAAGCTGAAACACAAGAGGTATAAGGGATCTTTGCTCCCCCATAAAATTGCTTCTCCCCCCCCCACACCCCCAGCCTCCATTCACGTAGACAACTGCACTTAGTTTCTGCTGAGGTTTGTAGTCAGTCCTTAGTTACCAGAGATAAGCCACTCGCAGCCCAGCTCCACTGCTACGTAGAAAGAAAATAGCAAAGGACACTTTGATACAGCAGTGTATTGTTTTCAAACAAGAATGGTTACTTGAGAGAGTGTTCCACTCTCTACTTACTTCTTCAAAAGTCCATATCAACTTAGATGTTTATGATTTAACCTTGAAGTCGTTTACTTCTTCCTTACACCTCAAATACTCCTGATAACCCGTCACTCCCAGGGCAACGGGCTCAGTGACAAGTTATCCAGAGTGGCCAGTCCGGCATACGTATCAATACATAAGTAAATGCGGCTGGGATATTGACAGCATGATGACTTAAGTGGTAGTGACATGTTAAGACACGGTCAAGTTATCAGGAGTTTACTGCACGAGTTTATAAATATCAGTAATGTTAGACAAAGAACACTGAGAACATATCGTAGAATCCTGCATGTTTAGTAGTGTATTGGTAGCTATAAATCTAATGCTCGTCTCAGCGGGATGGTTTGCTGGATTAGAATTCCTATATAACATCGCGACAGCAAAATCTGTTGAAATTAGATAGTTTTTTTCCAAAAACGTTTAAGAGCAAGAGGTTGCACAAGTGCAATCTTATTACCGATATGGCCGGAAATCTCCTTTCCTGTGCTATGAAAACAGAGTGTAACGTTGATGCACACAGCTGGCTTCCCGTACTCAGTGCATTCGCGTTTTGTGCGTTTGATTGAAGGAGGCAATAGCAGGGAAGCTTCAAGAATCACGACTGGTCTGCTCCTGTAGCACAGAGAACAGCAATTACCATTTAAAGTACAATGCAGTTCACCTCCACACATGGACAATAGCTCGACTGAAATTAGGACTTGTGGACAGTCAAAGTCTTGACCCTGCATGCCATCATTCTACGGTACTGTACACAATGTGTTCAGCTTCTACTGTTGATAGATGGCTGCGTGATGTACAGTGAGCAATGCATGGCAATAGTTACTCTATATCTACAATGCATTCAGCCAGATGAATGCAATGAAAATGTGCGTCCTTCTCTGAAACTAAGGATGCCACACAAAATGTATTTGAATAGGGTCCAGACAATTCACATTGGGTGCAAATCTGACACGCCCGAGTGCTTACAAATTCAGTACTTGCTGCTGCCTGAAACGTTTAAGGCAACTGTACCAATAGAACGAGACCAATGAGTAAATACTTTCCAGAAAAGTAACTTATCATTTGTAAAAACAAAACATTTATATACGTCACTCTGCTTGGTATGAAAAAGCTTTTGGATTAACGCATGAAATTCAAACTCAATGAAGTGCAGGATGGGGAGTGGGGAGTCAACTATTGCTGTATGTTTCCATTAATTTGTGTAGTGTTACTTTCTATTAGGATCAAATGTCTTTCACAGCTGCAATGATTCAGTCTTACCTAAGCAACACAACGGTATCAGACATGAAGGCACCAACTGCTACATCTGGAAAGGAGAACAGATTAATGAACGTCATTAGCCGAAGGATTCAGATTTTTGGGAAAGACACATTAATGGAGATTCACCTTTCGACTGCATTAAAACACTATTTGGTCGTTATTAATTGGAAGGGAAGAATTGTACCGTTCAAACTCATCTATCTTTGAGAAATCTTGTGCAGGCTCAGCACCTTGGAACCAGATTCATATTCAACAGAAACCACTTGTGTATCCTCCACAAGAGGTGCAATCATTTCTGTCTAACTTAATTATTATTGTGTTATTGTGTATAATTGTGCGCCAGAGATAATTGTTACTGTCCGATATAATGTGCTTCTTTATATAAAAAAAACATCGGCATCAGGAGTAACCACACAAAACAAATCACAAAAAGAATTAATGAAATGCTAGTCAACTCCTTGTGCCAATGGTAAGGCAACATGAGCTTCAAACCCAATGCTAGGATTGGGTGATGTTAAGCAGAAATTCTGCTAGTCAAGAGACAATTTAAACTGTGCGAGGGAACGTAATGGATTGAACATTATAGTTCACCTAGCAAGACTGTTTGCCCTGTGGAAAATTTCATTTAAATATTTTATTTTTCAAATTCACCAGATTGGGAGCGTTCCTCTCTCCTCAAAACAATATCCACCTTTGTGAAGCATACGTACAACAGATAAACCAATCGAATTAAATATTTACGAACTAGATTCTTACATAGACTTCCTGTGTTACTTTGCCAGTTCCCACAAGCCATGACAAAAGCTATATGTAATACTGGAAAGTAACAGGGGACATCTGATCTGATTCTGCTGTCAATAACTCCTTTCATTTTAAAAAAGGCTATGGCAAACACATTGGTAATATTAAAACCCAATTTCGGTACTTTTCTTACAAAGTTCTCATTGCATATTATAAAATTACTAAATTATTGAACATTATTATTATTATTAGCTGACGTGCTTTAATAATTGACATTATGTTAGCAATCAAATTCATATTTCATCCTCCTTTATGAAAGCACATTGATAGCAATCTCCAAAATGTTCTTTTGTCTCATCACTTTTGAGTTGCCAAAACATCAGAATGGATTTATCAGTGTAATGCAATTAAAAAGGAGCAAACCACAATTGCATTAATCTTACCAACTGCCAAATTGTATTGAACGTTTGTTCTGCGCAGGATTATGGTAGATTTTAAAATGATTTTAAGATGTTAATGTTACCAACATGTTGGTTACTCTGTCTCAAATACTACACTAACCAAAACATGACAATTCCAAATAAAACATCCTCATGTCAAAAAAGCAGTTGTGTTTTCATCAAACAAAGAGTTAAGAGAAACCAAACATGTTGATGCCTATAATAAAGTATTTTTGATTAAGTTCTGAGAGCTACCTGAAAAAGCGTTGCCGTCCACATCAATACCTCCAGATATTGATTGGCCAAAACCGAACAAGTTATTCCTAATCCGATATCCATTGATGCGCTGTAAAAGTTTGTAAGTTAATATATGAAATGCCTTGTGATTAAAATAAAACTCGAAAATTAATCCATTGCAACATGATGACAAAACATTCATATTTATGTTACACAAGTCATATTTGTATTAGGTTTTTGAAACATTATAAGTAGGTTACTCTGGAGAATAGTGAGTAGATAAGATAATTACATTTACTTTCGAAGCAGACTTAACGACAGCGTATCTCTTACTTGAGAGAAGATTGACGAGATTCCTCTTTCTCTGCCGTTGTAGATATAAATAGAACCATGCTTATCATCTTCCTGGGGTGCTCCAATTGCTACATCTAATAATATAATTAAACATAACCAAAGTGTTACTATCTTGACCTTTGCCTTTTTTTAAAAGCAAATTTCAGCTCGGTAATAATGCTAAAAGTATGTAAATAATTTCTGAAGCAATATCGGCCTCACATCACTGAGGGCTTTAATAAGTATAGGTTGGAGGCAGACGATGTTCCATTACTGTGCAACATTTATAACCCCAAAAGTTTGCCTACGAAACACACAGTCACTGCACTTCACGGTAAAAGTCCTATGAAGCACTCTGAGATGCTTAGACAGTGATAAGGCGCTATATTAAATGCAAGGTTATTAACATGAAGTCTCTGATAGTCGCGCTCATTATAATTCAGGGACTGCCTGGCTGGAGATATCATTCAAATAAGTGGAATTAATGTCCAGTTAATAAACACGATCATTCACTTCGTGGCTATTTATGGGACAAATCAATGTTCAACAGCAACATCCCACAAACAGCCATGAGGTGAATCATTAATTTTATCTCGAGGATTGTTAGCCAATTGTTAGCCAATTGAAGCAGGCTGACATCTTAAATATGGAATTTGTGAATAATTAACACCATGAACATCCAGTCAACGAAAAATAATCCAGAGGTGTTTCACAAGTATATTTTAATGGTTTTCAAAACTGTAACAAATTAAAAACAAGCTCATGAACTGGGCCTCAAATATATATATCATCCTTCTGCATAAAAATGACTCTAAATCACAGAGATTGTAATGAGGACAAATCTGATCACAATTTTATTCTTAGGGCCAATTTGAATCTTAAATGTGAAGTTAAGTTCGACTACTAATGCGACAAATTACCGAAGTCTTTACAGTGACCGTGTGGTGCAGAAACAAAGAACATAGAATTTAAAGATTCTGTGCATCTCAAACCTGGAAATCCATCAGCATCTATATCTCCAATGTCAACAATCACATCTCCGAACCTTGCTGCATAGGAATTTCCTCCAACTAACTCCATCTTTAGCTCCTTCATCTTTGCCTTTCAAGTTAAACAAAAATTCTTAACAACAATATGTAAAGAACCGCAATACAGGAGTCCTGCAGCTCAGTGGTTAGAGCACTCGCCTCGCAAGCCAGAAAACTGGGTTCGATTCCTGGCAGGGTGAAACGTTGAGCAAGCTTCCTTACTCCACACACCTCTGTTTACCTAGCAGTAAGTAGGAACCTGGTCGTTAGTCAATTGGCGGATCGCTTTTCCGAAGGCAAGAATTCCTTCGAAAAAAATAATAATAAATTGCTCACTGCAATCCACGACTGTTTGTTGGACGCTGCTGTGCACAATTGGCTGCTGTGTTTCGCCCACAAATATACAGTCAATTCACTTTACAGTATATTCTGTGAAGCGCTTTGAGACGTCTAGAAGACGAGGATTATTATTATCTTAACATTGCCCAGTTCAAACCAAATTCTTTCAGCCTTACCAATCCTGTGTTGAGATACACATACACTCTTCCTTCTTCTCGGACAGTGCTGTACATTGGGGCTCCGACCAATAGGTCAGAGAGGCCATCTGAGTTGAGATCGACAGCGCAAACTGAGGCACCAAAATAGGAGCCAAGCTGCGTAGAAAGCAAAAAGAATAAACTGCAAACTCTGCAACCTTTTCAAAATTACAGAAATCAATAAATAGTTTGAAAGCCGTACCATTTTACCCTTGCCTATGAACTTTATTATCCATTTTTCTGCATCTTTAGTGTCGAAAATGTAAACCTACAAAAAGAGGTCATTCATTAAGCAAGAATGTATTATTCATTTTTGCATCATTTGAAGATAAGGCCTGGGAGCAATTTTTTTTTGCACAATTGAAAGTGAAAACTATGCAACGAGTTATTAAGAATGTAGAACTCAGGAATAATACACAAGAACAATAATCTTACATGAGCAAGCAGGGAATATCGGGGTATTGGATTTGAGGTTAAGAAAGGTGGCGGTAGGTGAGGATAGACTAGTTGGACTAATTGTTTCTGTGCTGTACAGTCTATGTAATTCTATACTATATTAGGTGCCTTTTTTTTGTTTAAAAAACATGACTCAAAACTTTTTCCAGGAAAACGAATGAATGGAGTTTCATGGAACATCATCTACTGAAAACTGGCATCAAGAGCTACTAGCTACTACAGATCGAAAATATATACAGTCAATTCACTTTGAGACAATTGTTGGTTGGCAGGTTTACGGAGAGAAAGAGGAATATTTAGCAGGAAGACAAAGATAAACTTCCAATTGGGTGAATCAAACCTTAGATTGGAGAGCATTGTAACAGCAATACCGTGTCTTATTCATGACAGTTATTTGGTAATCTGTAGAAGAATGTAGCTGTAGGATGTTGTGAGTGAAACACCTTTATTAAAAGGAACAAAACAAATTCTTACTCGACCAGTCTGATCCTGTTGGGGTGCTCCGCCCACAACATCTGTGCTGTTTCGATAAACAAAATGTCCAGCACTAACAGCATAACCTGGGGAAAAAAACATTCAATGTAAGAATAAATAATCAACTGCAATGACTGTGTTTTGTGGGCAAAGTTATATTACACGATGAGCAAAAAGTGCACTATTTCCCTTGTAATAAAGATGGAAATTGCTGCAGAGGGTAGTTTATGAATGTATCTGATTCCTGAGCGTCCACTATGTTACATAAAAAGATTGGTGGTCAATCTAAAAGTCTGGCCTTATAACACTTTTAATGACCAGCTTGCGAGTTACACGTCGCAAGTTTTACAAGGAAAAATATGGAATTTGAAAAATTCGCATTTTTTTGGTCAGCCGAGTGTCTGACACGTGTGGAAGCCCATCACCGTGCCTAAAAGAGTAAGCAAACCAGGCAGAGAGAGTTCCATATTTGTATGGCACACAACACCCGAAAAATTCCCTGTGCCTGGAATTCTAAATTTTAAAACTATAACGTTTCTTTTTTTAAAAATTTGGTGAATTTCTGATCTCAGCTGAACTGTCTGGTGCGGGAGCTGACCACAAACTTGCCAAAACCAGGTGAAGGAAGGGGGGGAAAAAACTTAAGGATAGCCCAGCCCAAATCAACGGTTAGCCTCTTAGTCTGGCTCAGTTGGTAGCACTTTTGCCTTTGTGCACTAACTACCAGCATAGATCCGAATATTACTGAAGACGCCTATCAGGATTTACATACCGAGATAGCTTCCCCTTTTAACAGTAGAACTGTCAACCTGTTCAAAGTTGCTGATAAGTGCTCCTTCCTGTTTCATGAAGACAGTTCCAGTCGCTGAATGTGATCCTGGAGCCCCAATTACAATTGAATCCTGCAAGGGAGAATAACGTAACTAACGTAACCTAGATCTTAATTCTTTAAGGAAAAGTATATCTTAGTAATCACAATTACCTCACCTCAGTCATAAAGCTGGAGATGCCAGCCTGACAAGCAGTATGATCCTCCCCAATTCTGAAATTGGTTTTCAGTCCTGATAAGGGAAAGCAGAATTCATTCCATTACTTCACTCAAAAATAAAAATATTTCTGCCTTGCAATTAAATACAGGTCATAGAGGTATACCTAAAGCAATGTGATTACAATCTCCATTACCCATGTTAGCCAATAAAGATCTGAAACAATAACATTTTACTATTTCCACAAAACACTCTCATAATTTGGTTCAAAAATATATATTTGCAAAAAATATAGTAACCAACGCAAGTGTTTGCATCAGAGAAAATAAAAAAAACACACACACACCCACACACAGGAGAAAGACGAGAAGAAAAAAAACCAAAGAAAGACAGCAAAAAAAAATGACACAATATTGCGTGACAGATGAGAACAGCAGGACTGGAAATCTGTTCATAAGGATGTCTTGGATTAACTACTTCTGACCTTCTCTTCAAATTTGGGACAGCTCATTTTTCCGAACTTCTGGCAACCCTACTGTAGTTAATGAGCTGTGAAAACATTTGCAGAGTTACGGGACTAATGTCCCCCACCTGAATATTTTGCACAATTTCAAGATCACTGCTACATAGCCAGGTGAAGTACCTCTTCTTTCATAAACTCTGTTTGAATACGCTACTGAAAGTACCAGCCTTATATTTGCGTTAGGATTTGGTATTTCGGAAGATCCTTCACAGTATAGCAGAATTAACGCCTCCTATAATTCTCAGCTTCCCGTGTCCTGATTTGTACTTGTTCACATAGTAACAACATCTTTCAAAAATGTCAATCTTTAGTGATTCACAATTGTTAATTTCCTTCCACTTGAGTCAGGTTTATAACTCAAACTACTTCGGATTCTCTCCTTGTTCCAAAGGTAAATCTCCTTTGCTGATAACTTTCAAAACAATTACTTGTTATTTTCAATTAATTTCTTCTACCCCTTGTTAATATTTCAAGCCCATAATATTAGTCCATTTGTTTTAATTCATTGGATGTATGGAGATTTTTTTGTTGGATCAATTGGATTCACTTGCTGTCAATAAAGTACAATAATTGTAAGCAGTATTGAACAATGACAATCGTACAAATGCAGTTTACTTAAATGATATGAAACACCCATCAATAATAAAATGGCTTAATTTCTATCACAAAGTGTGATGACAAAGAGCCTTTAAGATAAAGGTCTTTTGATCATGTTCTTACCCTTATCACATGGAATCAGTGGTGAATTTTGTGTCGGTTGCAAATTAGAAGAAATTATAAAACACACGCCATATGGTAATATATCTTCTTTTGAGTGGTATGCATTTTTCCACCTATGTCCACAGGCCTTTTTTTTGAGGTGGAGAAAAAAGATAAAATCACAGTTAAAACAGACTTATTATTAACGATCTAGTATTCTCTAAAAGTTGCAAAAACAAATGGTGAAATAAATTACCAAAATATGACCATCTTTCTTTTTTTGTCTGGCCATGCTCACACCAAGCCACTGATCATCTTTATCTTCCAAACATTTATTTTGACAGGAGGTGTTCCTTTTAGGATCAGCTGCAACCAAATTGACAAAAAATATCAATTGTGTTCCTCCCAAATAATATCATCACAAGAAAACCATCAAACCAAGAAACCGTCTCTCTCCGAAAGAAGTCTAAATTGTATTTAGTACTGCTATTTTTCTTATTTTATTACAATAATCAGAATTTCAGTTGGGTAATGTTCAAATGAATAAAAGACACTTTTTACATTAATGCACCAGTCATTGAAATCTGCGCTATATCCACAAATAAACAAAATGAAAATAAACACGACTGTTTGTGCGACGTTGTTGCCCACAATTGGCTGCCGCATTTCGCCAACAAAATATACAGTCAATTCACTTTACAGCTTATCCTGAGAATAGCTTTGAGAAGTTTTGAAGACGTGATAAGGCGTTGTATCAAATGCAAGGATTATTTTATTATATAGTGCTTGAAAATGAAATCGTTGAAACTAGCCTGCTGTAAAGTGAATATAAATAGGGGTTCCAGGGAACAGTCGATCTCGGGAAGCTTTCACACAAAGTTTTCATTTCTTTTGCTTAATTTTTGAATTAATTTAATTTTCCTCTTTTTGACTCGTTTGGCCTCAATTCTCCCCTTCCCAGAATGTATTTCTGAGCGGAGCCCCACTTCAGCTTATTTGCAAATGTTAAGATACTGTGTCCCACAATAATCCTGTCAATGTGCGGAGAATGTCATAAAGGTAAATGCTTGCTGAGCTTGGAGAAACAGTCACCAGCAGAGGGCACTTTCCTTTTGAATAGATTCCTTTTGTTAATAAATCTTCAACACGTGTTCAACTCAACTCAAAGCGATCTGCTTTGCACAGCTGGGTAAAAAGGCTTCCAACTGTGGATAAGCTAGGACGGATGAACCAATCTTCTTGAAGAACAGGCTCGCTGGTGATTTTTGCATCTCTCTTGTGATGAAATGTTTCAATGTAGAACTTCTAACAAGCGTTTGGGGAAACCAGGTACTTTCAGCCTGAAGAGCAAGACTGCTACACGGTAAAGGTGGAATTTGTGGATAGTTACAAATGTTTTGCCGACATGTGGAGCAAGTTGCCTTGGTCACATGGTGGGTCACTTGCTCACGGGAAAGCTTGCGAGCCACCATTCCTTTGGGGATTTATATCCTCTGTTGCAAGTACTGACCGCTTGCAGAGAGATAGAAATGCACCCATCAACTCTGCTACCTACTTTGGCCTTGTGTAAAGCCACAGGCTTTTCCGTTCCTTCTCCAAAATTATTCTTGTCTGTCCTCCTGCCAATCGATAAGAGCTTTGAATGAAGGGGGATCTTTTGCCCATTTAGTTTTCTCATTCTAGACTCAAATAAATAATCAGTGTGACTGATTCAAACAAATTGCTTCAAAACATTAATTATCAAAGCCTTTTGCTAAGCCAAACAAAGTTAACAAGGTCGGCTGTTTGATTCACTAAACACTGGCCTGCTCCACGTTTCTTGCCCTATCCTCTCCGTCAGCAGCAGCAGCAGACAGGCTTTCAGCCGTTCTACCCCTGTTCCCTGGAACCCCATCTCAGAATCTCTCCGACTCTCAAGACACACTTTCGGTCATCTTTCCCTTTCCCATCCCTCTTGACTCCCACCCCCAGCTCAGTTGCTCAGGCAGCAGGGCTGAGCCGTTTGAGATGTCCTCCCGAAGTGAAGGTGCTCTATCTATTAATATAAATTGTATTGTATTATAATACTTAAAAATGTAGGAATGTAGAAGACCAGTAAGGCCATTGCAACCCATCTGGCCAGTCCCAAGTGCACAACAGCTGTGAAGGATAGTTAAAGGCAGGGACAGAGTACATTCTTTGGATAGAGCCCATCTGTTCTGGATGAATTAATTTAGTGATCAGACTATTAAAGCGTGTTGCCAGAATTTTGTGCGAGCGTTTTAGTCACAACTGAGAACCAAGATGGATCAGGAAGAGGCATACATTGCACGGTTCATTACTCTCTTTTAAAAATATATACACTTTGTGCCGTGCATCAGGTGTGCTGCTGTCACCTGCGATTAAATCAACAGTAGCCCGCAAAATTGGGACAATTCCAGGGGCTAGATTTTTGTTTAAAAGAAACGAGAGGAAACCATCAGGGCCATTGCCTTAATACACTACGTGGATCTAATAACAACTCTAAACTCCTGCAAACAATATAGCAGTTCATTTGTTACACATGAAGCGCCAACTCGGTCAGGTCAGCTAAAACAATTTAAAAATAAATCCTACATTCCAAATTAATCCACATGGGGGTCACTGACAGTGGATCTATCCTAGAGTTAAGTTGTACTCCAGGGGTATCTTTTCTGCAGTCCATACTCTGATGAAATACCAGGTACATCTCCATGCTCATGAAACAAAATAGCTGTACCTTCTGTACTTTGTGAGTCTAGAAAGAGGAAATTAAATGGGCAGAAGATCCTTTTTCATTTAAATCTCTCATGTGATATTACGAGTCCATTTTGACTCCCAGTTTACACCAGATCAGAATGTAATTGAAGATACATTCACTTTGTAATATTCCACAAGCACTTTTGTCTACTCTGCAATGTGTTTGTTAAGAGTCAGGATCAGTGAAAGAGATGCGAAATGCGTAGATAGATAGAATGACAGAAAGCGAGAATGGGCTGGTTCTATGTGCGATAATAATAACACTCCTTGCATTTGATATAGCACCTTATCACGTCTTCTAGAAGTGATTATTACCCCCGGAAAAGCAATCCGCCAATCGACTAACAACCGGGTTCCTACTTACTGCTAGATAAACGGAGGTGTGTGGAGTTGCCAAACTTTTTGACCTGCCCAGGAAATACAGATGGAGAAGGGAGACAAGATAGTGGTGGAGAATGAGGCAGTACTGCTTTGATAGTATAATATCTGGTGGAACGTTTCTGGAGGAAGGTTTTGCCTATGCATCTTATTCTGTGTGTTGACCTTACATTTGCATTGCTTTCATTCCACAATGGGGCAGCCCCATTGAGTGCTTAAATAGTCTCTCTCTCCACTGCACTTCAACATGTGCCTAAAATGTGTCTCATAACATAAAAATAATAATCCTTGCATTTGATATAGCGCTTTTCATGTCAGGAGGACATCCCAAAGCGCTTCACAGAACACACTGTAATAGAATTAAGCCATGACAAATTACTGTACAAACTCCCTTCCCATTGTATGCAATGTGTGTCTCTCTGTCTGTGTGTCTCTGTATCTGTCTCTCTCAGTCTGTGTGCATGTGTCTGTCTGTCTGTCTGTCTGTGTGTATTGTCTCTCTCTCTGTCTGCGTGTATGTGTGTAGTCAATTTATCCAGTAGTGAAACCATGAATGTGACCAACATGATACAAGATCAGCTGCATGTGGCAATGACATATAAGAAATAAAATGTACTGTAACAAACTTTCATCATTTGGTGGCTTTATGCCCACAATAGAGTTGAGAGGGTAGTGGTGAAGCAATTGTATTGATATGAAACCCCCAAGCCACAAGTTTCAGAAGTGAGCTTCCAATCGATCTCACGCTCCCTCTACCCCACCACCCACTGCTTCTCAGGTTAACTCTTCACTGTTTCCAATCTAACTGAACCCCAACCGGTCATTGGAAGCAACTGACCTAGTAAACTTAGTTCTTCACAACGTATTTCAGTATTTGGTGCGATTGGACATTTGTAAATCACGCCAGGATTCACTGCACCATTGTCGAAAGACGAATTTGCTTTCGGAGCTCCAACAACAAACCTGAAACAAGAGGAAACGATAAGATGCCTAAAGGTTAAAAACGGTGCGTAAAAGTTAAAACAACAACACCACCAATTTGCATTCCTATAGTGCCCTTCACGCCTGGCGGCGTCTCAGAGCGCTTAACAATGGCGGAGCCCAAGGCCGAGCCAGGTGGAGGGGAAAGGTGACCATGGGGGCGATCGAAGAAGAAGGTCTTCAGGCACAACCTGAAGATGGGGAAGGAGGGGGAGAGGCGAAGGGGTTGAGGGAGGGAGTTCCAAAGTATCGCGGCGTAGTGGCTGAAGGCACGGCCGGCGATGGTGGAGCAGAGGATTTGTGGGTGCATAAAAACGGTGCCTAAAGGTTAAAAATCGAAGATCTATTCCTCCCTCCAACAACTTTGGTTCAGTAGCAAGAAAATTATATGCTGACAAACAAAAATTTCTACCCCCACTCCCCGACCAAAAAAAAATTGACAGTGTGCCTTTTATATTGACTTTAGCAGCTCAGGCTGTAAAGTTAACATATATTATCCAGTCAAGTAAATAAAGCAAGTAAATAGGTTCAGGAACTCTGTACCTGGATGAAACTTGCAGCAGAAACTGTACTGATGATATGCAACATCAAAACCCACATTACATTACAAACTTTTCAACAGGTTTGAGCTTAGAAACTTTGTTTGGAAGTCGTGTGAAAAAACTCACCATTTCTGGTCTCTGTGACTGTGTAACACCACCGAGTAACCGAACAATGTCTTATTTGGTCCTTTAACAGTGAGGGGACTTTCCACATCCAGGTTGTAAACGGTCACAGCTTTGAACGTAACGCACAGAATTAGACAAGTGCAACTTAAAAGGGATGCAAACTTTTTCAGCTCCATTTTCTCCCCCACCCCACCAAGCTTCTTCTGTTCTGAGTCAAGCGTTAGTTGAGAGAAGAATAACGGTGACAACAGACACACTTCAGTCTGCCAGTCTCACGCACAGCCCAAACCACTCGACTCAGACCAGAGCCACCAGGGGGCAGGTTTTCAACTCCCTCTTCACAGAGCCAGACGTAGCTGTAAGCTTTATTCTGTGTGGTTTCAACTGGCTCAATTAATCTAAGTTTCGATTGTTTTCATTGGGCTGGACTTCAGATTTGAGAAACACCCATGGGCTGCATAATATAATCATAGTAATAATCCTTGCATTTGATACAGCACCTTATCACGTCTTCAAGACGTCTTAAAGCGCTTCACAAAATATACTCTGAAGTGAATTGACTGTATATCTTGCGGGTAGAACATGGCAGCCAACTGGACTCAGCAGTGTCCCACAAAGTCGTGGATTGAAGTGACCGAATTATTATTGCTATTTTTTTCTTGAAAGAATTATTACCCCCGGAAAAGTGATCCACCAATCGACTAACAACCGGGTTCCTACTTACTGCTCGGTAAACAGACGTGTGTTGGGTAAGGAAACTTGCCCAATGTTTTGCCCTGCCTGGGTCCTCTTTTGTGGACAAAACACAGCAGCCAATTGTGTTTAATTACGATACATCAATTACTTATTCTTATACGGGTGGGGTTGGAGAAGACTCGGTCAAAGAGGGAAGTTTTTTTTAAGAAGGGATTTGAAAGTATTAAAAGAGGATGTGAGGAGAGAGTTCCATAGCACATAGGCGTGGTGCTTGGGAAGATGGATGGGCATGCAGTAGATCACTTCTCAAACAGCTTCGCGGAAATATTTAAAATCTACCCGAAGAGGAAGATGGAACCTTAACAGTTTAACATCTCCTCTGAAGGACAGCACCTCTGACAATGGGAAAAACTGTTTCCACGGGTGGGCATGTCGGTGACTCGAGGTCACAGGTTTAAAATAGTTTGCAGGTTTATGGGGAAAGGGTTGGGGTGTGGGATTGACATTGCATTGCTCTTTTCAAAGAGCCGGCACAGACTCGATGGGCCGAAAGGCCGCTTTTTGTGCTGTACGATTCTATGATCCTATGATTCTATGAATGCAGCTCTTCCTTAGAATTATAGTGGAGTGTCAGCCCAGACTACGAGCTCAAGTCCCAATGTGGCTCACAATAAGGGTCACCGTGAAGTGGGTAGGGAATAAATAAAACCTGGCAAGGATAAGGGTGTTGGGGATCTGATGCATTATAATTCCAACAGCAAAATCTGTTTTCAAATCGCGTGAGACCTTTGGCAGAAGCCTGTAATGCAACAAAGGCACTAAATAATGGGCGAAATAGTGGATTGTCCTCTTCTCTGGAGGTAGCAAGCCCGATGAAGCCTTTCAATGTCTCATGTAACACTAACCACCATTATTCGCAAAGCATACCAACCTTCCCTCCCACTTTGAGTATCACGTTAATTTTTCATCAATTGGTTACCAGTTACCAATGGAAAGAGAAATTCCGATAGCGACTTGCTCATTGGAATGGAAATGCCGTTGAGGAATTTCTGTAAACGTTCTGGCAGAGAAGCCAGATGTAATCAACAGAAACAAATATAGAAGGTGAAAGGTGCTATCCTTAGAGGACGATGTGCCAGAGAGCTACAAAGGGAATGATTGTGAGGTGCAGGAGGTAGGATCTGACCCTTATCTTGGAAATAGCAAGTTGACAGGCTACAGGATATGATCTTTTGAAATAAACCATCTGTGCACATTTGATAAACTAGGAATATTTACAACTGAACACTTTCCAAATTTCTCTCTCTGAAAGTAAAACACTTTTTTGTCTTCTTTCATTGTTTATATTGTAAAGGCGTTTTACAAATCTGATTTTGTATTGTATTGTTGTCTTTCTTTTATATAAACCCTAAATGTCATAAATGCAGCTCATAGATTAGACAAGAAGAATAAGAATTCTTCTTTGTTTGAATGATTTGTTGCTGAAGAGATCGAAGCAGATGTACACTTTGGACATATCACTGAAGCATAATGCTACAACTTGTGTTGTGCATTGTGTGGAAATAAAGCTTTAAATCGGTTGAGCTGCAAGTAATTCAGCCAATTATATTGTTGGTAAGCTAATGAAACAATGATTCAAATCCTGAACCACAAGCAAATGTCAGTGTGAAAGAGGTTCCAATGCCACAAACATAAGCTGCTGAGAAGAAAATTATTGTGCATCTGATATTATCTAACTGTTCGACAAAGTGCCCACATAGCAGCTTGTATAAGGAAGGGAGTGTAAAGATAGGGACACTGAGTGGGAAAGGATGAATCAAATCTATCATAACATATTGAAAACATTCCACTTTGAGTACTAACAGAACCTTTATGAAAGACTCCTTGAGATTCGAAGTAATCAGAGGGATTGATAAGGAATAATCCTTGCATTTGTTACAGTGCCTCATCACATTGTTAAAACGTCTCAAAGCAGGATTTTACTGTCAAATGTATCGACTGTATTTGTAGAAGAATGGGGCAGCCAATTTTATTTGGGGGATGTTGGCCAAGCCACCAGAACAGGCAGAGAAGGCTTGGGTTATGATCTCATTCGGACCAACTTCTGACAATGTTGGAGTGTCAGTCTGGACTATGAAGTCAAAGTCACAATATTGAGCTTTCAGTGCCCCAATGCATTACCCTGCGTTGATATTGTTGAACCCATAGCCTTCTGGCTCAACAATAAAACGCACCGTAGCCCCTTCACCCAGGGCAGTGTCTCGGAGTGCCTAGAGGTGAGAATGCTACTAACTGAGCCAGGCGAACCCCAATTAACTATCTGAGGTCCCAAAATCTACTCTTCTTGGTTCTAATAAATCAGGTCAGCACAGACCTCTTCCTACCTAAAGTTATTCAAATGTTATTTATGTTATGGACCTTATAATAAGAATCCTTGCATTTGATATCGCGCCTTATCACATGATCGAGACAACACAGAGCGCTTTACAAAGTATTCCGTAAAGTGAATTGACTGAATATTTTGTGGGTAAAACGCAGCAGCCAATTGTCCACAGCATTGACCAAATATTATTTTTATTTATTTATGTATTTATTTATTTTGAAGGGTTTATTATCACCGGAAAAGCGATCCACCATTCGACTAACAACCAGGTTCCTACTTACTGCTAGGTAAACAGAGGTATATGGAATAAGAAAACTTGCCTAATGTTTCGCCCTGCCTGGGAATCGAACCAAATGTGCCCGTGAGATAACAATAGATCATAAATAAAACATATCCTTTGTTAGAAAGAATGAAGGTTTAATATGAAGAGTAGGAATAGTGTGAAGGCAGTGGTAAGTTCCAGCCTGATCCTGTTCTAATAATAATCTTTGCATTTGATATAGCGCCCTATCGAGACGTCACAAAGAGCTTCGCAGAATATATTGTAAAGTGAACTGATTGTATATTCCGTGAGCGAAATTGTGTTCCCTCTTTCACAGAGACAGCACGAAAGGCTCAGCTGTGGCACACAGAGCCAGCAGTGCAGCAAATCCAGCNAAAAAAGCTGCTGCAGTGTCTGTTATATCATCCTGATGAAATTACACTGATTTAATTTCCACGCTGTGAAGACATTTGGCACCACTTGGATTTGCGCCCTGACATCTTCATCTCAGATAAATTGAATGAATAAAATCTCGCAAAGCCTCTGATGGCATATACTGCTAATACTGATTCTGTTAACTTGCCTGCGACTTGGTGACTTCAGCCCCATTGGAGCTATACTCCAAGGGCATTGATATTGGCAGCGATTGTATTTTTGAGCAATCGGCAACTATCACCTTCAAAAAATGTGCAAAACGTATTGTGCCAGGAAGCCTCAGCTGTAATAAAGTTTGGCACCAACGGCCCACCATATACCTGCACCATCCTGTGCAATTTAATTGGCATTCAGTGGGTTGATAAATGGATTGGCTTAATGGGACAATATACATGACATATGCAGGACTCTCTTGAGAAATAGGATTCATTTTTGTACTTCACACATCAACATGCCGCAGATACCAACACAGCCTTTTCTAACAGCTGTGCCACTGTGAATGACATTCCTGTCAGCAACACAACCCACTGTCTTCTCTCCCGTGGATACCTACCCACACAATCCAGAGGTTTATACTTTTTCTTATTCATAGGCCCCCACGCCCACACCCTCTCCCCAAGCCTGGTTGGCTTTCACAATGAATGTCAGAACTTGTTTGGGAGCAATTTCTGTAACAATAAACATGTTACAATGAGCAAGTGTGCATCCGTTGTATTCACTGTCAAATAGAGGTTAATGGATTTTAATGGCATTCATTGTAATAGTTTTCTGAGGAGGGTAATAATCCCATAAATAAATAATAATAATTTGGTCAATTAATCCACGACTGTTGTGGGACACTGCTGTGCACAATTGGCTGCCGTGTTTCGCCCACAAAATACCCAGACAATTCACTTTACAGTATATTCTGTGAAGTGCTTTGAGACGTTTCTAGGCTGTGATAAGGCCCTATATCAAATATAAGTATTAGTATTATTATTATAGTTGAAAGCCGGTCAGTTAATCGTTCAGCTGGGTTCAACTGAGGCAACTACAAGCTACCATTCAATAAGAAAAATAATTTCTACACCTCATTTTAGGACAGAGTCTGGTCGATTTAAACTGTATTCTTAGGGGCTTGTTTGTGCTTTTGGCTGTGACTTGTCTTCAGCTGGCTAGTCTTTCTTAAGATAAAAGAAGCCGTGTGTCACCATCTCAGATCCCGACTGGGTAGCAGTTTGCTGCTCACGATTTAACTTTGAGGAAGGCTTCCACATGCAAATAGGTTCAAGGAAACTGGAGAAACGAAACGGTGTGTGACAGTTTCTAATTACTGCGTAAAAACAGCATATGGCAACTTCATTGTCCATTTCATCCCTCAATATGTACTATCAAGTCAGATTTCTGTTGTTCAATCATTCTCTCCAGAGCATTTCGAACCGTTTCATTTGTTTGAGCTGTGCAGAAGCTTCACTTGATAGGTCTGTTGGATAATTTTATTTAGCAGATCCAACTTTAGAGATGATTAATTCC